TTTGAGACTGAGTCTCGTCTCACTCTGTTGCCCAGGCTGGAGTACAATGGCACGATCTCGGCTCACTGCAATTGCCGCCTCCCAGGTTCAGGTGATTCTCCTGCCTCAGCCTCCAGAGTAGCTGAGATTATAGGCGCGTGCCACCACGCCCAGCTAATTTTTGTATTATTAGTAGAGACGGGGTTTCAGCAATTGGCCAGGCTGGTCTGGAACTCCTGACCTCGTGATCTGCCCGCCTTAGCCTCCCGAAGTGCTGGGATTACAGGCATGAGCCACCGCACCTGGCCTAACCCAGCCTTTTAATCAGCAGTTGGGGGAAGACCTGTTTTGTCTTCGGCTGGACACACACAAATGAGCAATTAGTCCTGATGACTGCTCGCAGTTATTCGGGAGCTAAGAGGGAGCTTTGGGTTAAACTAACACCATGGAACGTAGAGCAAAAGGCAGACAAAATCTGAGCCATTGAGAGCTGCAGGAGCAAGCCACACCTGAGGTCCACCCTGGCCTGGACTTCTCACTTGCAAGGGGTCATAAATTGGCTTTATCCTTAAAGCCTGTTAGAGCTGACATTTCCATTACTTCTTGCCCAAAGTTCCCTAACCAATGCTAGCAACACCTTCGCTTCACAGGTGGGGTAAATGTGAGGAAACAGGGACTCAGAGAGACTGGGTAACATGCCCCACATAGAAGGGCTGAGATTCAACCTCCAAACTCTCACAACCGCAAAGCCCATGCTCTTAGCCTCCCACAATCTCACACTAGCTTGTGGGATGCAAACTCTAGCTATTCCCTGGGTTAGGAACCTCCAGGTCGTCTGTCACATTCTTTCCATCAGAACTGAGGCAGGAGAATAGGGATTAGGGTGACCAAGGGTTAAGGCAGAAGCAAAAGAACAGCAGGTGCAGCCGGTTCTAGGCAAGATTAGGCAGCACACAGGCCACATCCTCACTCCTGTAATAACAAGACAGAAGTTTCCACTTCAGCTTCTGATTGGTCACAGGCCAATCCTTCATAGGGTCTGACTAATTGGAGGCTTCCAAAGGGCACCTAGGGGTGTTACCAGAGTCTTTGAACTTTATAAAAACCTTAAAAAACATTGTAATGGGTGCTCCTGAGCTACCTGCTCCAGCCTGTTCCCACTCTGTGGAGTGTACTTTAGCTTCAATGTACCTGCACTTTCGTTACTGTTCTTTTGTTGCTTTGTCTTTCGTTGCTTCCTTCTTTTTTGCTTTGTGTGTTTTGTTCAATTTTTTGTTGAGCACAAAGAGCCTGGATGACACACAGTCAAGACCTTTAATCCGGTAACAGAACCACTTTGGCGTTCTGGGTGTCACAAGTGAGGATCTACAGTCTTCCTCCCCAGGAGTGACAGAGATGGGGCACGGGGGTGAACAGCAGACATTTAACACTCCCTCTCTGGGACAAAGCAGGTGCTCAAACTAAAGAGGGTTGCTAACCACCCCGTCACAGCCGAGGACAGGCTTGGGGAGCCCCTGTCCAGCCCCTCTTATCTGATGGCTTATGGCATGCACGGCTGTTCTGGATACTCACTTCTGGTTTAGGTGCATATGTGGCTAACTTAGTGGACTCTGTCACCCTCCACAATAGACAGAGGTGTCACTGGGCATTGCAGGCATCCCTTCCACATGCACAGGTCCTCTCCCGAGCCACAGGTATCTCACCTGGGCCTCCCCAGCACCAGCTCCTGGGGCTGCTGGCTCTCTGCCACCTGTCTTAGTCACCTGTCTGCCCCTTTCCTCCCAGAAACGGGAAAGGAGGAAAAAGACATCTCCCACTCTTGGGAAATCCAGATGCGAGACTGGACGTCCGTGCTGTGACCCCCACATAGACTCATTTATCCTGCACTTGGCCATCACTCAGTGCTCTGAAGAAGAACAGCTTCACTTTCTGAGCTATTTACAGGGCCTCCAGGACACCACCTTTGCACACATGTGCCGGGCCCGGACCCTGCAGGTCTGCAGAACAATTTCAGACACGCAAGAGGCTCAAATGCAGTGAAAGAGAACAAACAAGAGAACCCAGGACTGTGGTTGCAGTGGAAACACAGGGGACCCTCGGTTTCCAGCGTGGACTCCGGCTAATGTCGCCATCTAGTGGCCAGCATGGAGAGACGCAACCTGGGCCAGAGGGCCCATGGAAAGCCCCAGTAATTCTCCACCTCCATCAGACCCTCCCCCGACATCAGACCCTCCTCCCTCAGAGCCTTCACCTCCATCAGCCTCTCCTCCATCAGATTCTCTTCCATCAGACCCTGCACTTCCATCAGATCTTCCACTTTCCAGTGATTCACAGCTTGGGATCCTGGGCCAGGAAGATTGAGGTCCCAATAGTGTCTGAACATGAGAACCTCCAGGGACCCAAACCCCAGGAACCAAAAGCCCACTGGCCTTGGGGAACTCCTAAGCCCTCTTTCCACAACTCAGAGGTACTCTGAGTTCTAAAATCTGCAAAGGCCCTCCTTCCCATCCCCCACAGAAAGCAGAGGGTGGCATGAACTTTACACCCAATGGGCTTGGTTTAAATTGCAGCTCCTTCACCGGCCAGCTGTTTGGCTTCAGAAACGTTGCAAACTGTCTCCATTTCCTCAACCGTGAAGTGAGAACAATCATTTGTGGAGGGCTTATAATGAAGCGTGTATAGAATATGTCTATGTCAGTCTCCCTGCTTCCACAGACAGGAGGACTTGAGTTGCCCACTCAGTCTGTTAGGAGATCTTCTGGGGAGTCTGCAAAGCCCTGATGTCTGGCCTCACAGATTGTGCACTGCACAACCCTGGGGTGACATCTGTACTGGAGAGCAGTGAACAACTTTTACAGACATCTAAGGGCCACCCTGGGGCTCTCCCTTCTTCCTTCTGTTTCCATACACTTTGGATTTAATCCCTTAAGCCATGCCAGTGGGAACAGTCTGGGATTGGAGGGTTTAAACTACAAGCAATATGCATGCTGAGAATATTCTCAAATAGCAGTCCTGACACGGCAGCGCCCCAGAGCCCTTCCAATGAAGTAATGGGAACAGGTGCACAAGTCCACATGCATTGACTTGCATTTTTCCATTTCTCTCTCTTCCTTCCTTCAGTGGCCTCCTTGGATTTCCTGCATGTGTTATAGTATCCACAGGGGTTTTTCCTCAGATGGATTGTGAATACTTGAGGGCAAAAACTCTGTCTCATTCTTCTTGTCTTCCTCATGTCAGTATATAAACTGGGACTCAATACACATTCCTTGTTTGGATGGATGGATGGATGGATGGATGGATGGATGGATGGATGTTTGAGTGGATGGTCAGTCAGATGGTTGGGTGGATGGATGAGTGGGTGGGTGGGTGGAGGTGGATGGATGGAGAGGTGAATGAGTGGGTAGATGCATGGGTGAGTGGTTGGATAAATGGATCAATGAATGGTTGAATGGATGGATGGTTGAATAGATGAATGGATGGTTGGATGGATGAACAGGTGGATGGATGGGTGAATGGGTGGATGGATGGGTGGATGGATGGATGGATGGATGGATGGATGGATGGATGGACAGATGAACAGATGTGTGGAGAGGTGGACAGATGGGTAGATGGGTGGGTGAATGGATGGGTAGATGGTTAGATGGCTAGCTGGGTGGATGAAGGGACCAGGTGAGAGGCATCTGACAGCACACATGCAGTCATCACTCTCAGTACTTACCATGTCTCTCATCACCTGATTTCAGCGTCTCCCTCCCCCACAAGGCCGTGTGCTCTGTGAGGGCAGGGCTTGGTCTGCCTCTCTCACCACTTTGCCCAGAGCACTAAGCTCAGGGCCTGGGGCACTGTGAGTGCTCAGGAAGTGTTTGTCGAAGAATAGACTTGGATGGGGGAGGTAGGATGAGAGTAAACCAAGTTTTCATTATTTCAGAAAACACAAACGAACAGACATGGCATATGTATTAAGATTACATGAGGCCAGGCGCAGCGGCTCATGCCTGTAACCCCAGCACTTTGGGAGGCTGAGGTGGGAGAATCACCTGAGGTCAGGAGTTCGAGACCAGCCTGGCCAACATGGTGAAACCCGGTCTCTACTAAAAATACAAAAATTAGCCGGACGTGGTGGCAGGAGCCTGTAATCCCAACTACTCGGGAGGCTGAGGCAGGAGAAGTGCTTGAACCTGGCAGGCAGAGGTTGTAGTGAACCGACTTCATGCCATTGCACTCCAGCCTTGGCAACAAGAGCAAGACTTTGTCCCAAAAAAAAAAAAAAAAAAAAAAAAATACATGAAAACAGTAGATGAAGTTTGAAAGACAGTGTTTTAAAATATGTGTCAATGACTTTATCTGAAATCCAAACAGCCACACAGTCGGGGGGCTCAGCAGCTGGTTTTACTGAGTATGTCATGCTCTTCCAAGAAAGGCAAGTGAAAGCTCCTCAGCTGACTTCAGAATAGCTTATAACAGGTTATATGAAAAACCCAGGAGGCTGGGTAGTGGAGGAACCACCAACCCGAGGACGTGGTGTCTATGTTTACTGGAGAGGGACAGATCAAGCCCCACATGAAAAGGCAGCCACTCCCAGAGTGCCCAGTGGAACGGCGGCCGTGGGGCTGTGCCTACTCTCGGGCGAGCGACACTCCCACCACGCCGACTGGTGGACATGACTTGGGAAGAACCAGAGATGCGTTCCTGGCCTCCCCAGAGTGCCCAGCACAGCACTGGCCCTCGGTGGATGCTCAGTGAGCCCGTGATGGACCATCCCAAATGGAGCATCCAGCACAAGCAGCCACATTTCAGTGTCTTGTGTGATTGATTCTACTTGATCGGAATCTGTGATCCACACGTATTACCCACTGTCATTCTTTACTGACTCTGAGAATATCCAGTAAATCAAAATACTCCTTTCCCCAAATGTTCTGTATGAATGACAATTACAATCAACAAAATTAGTATCGTGGATTGAAAACTAAGGCCATGTTATAATTCTAAGTTCATTGAGGAAAAATACTTTCAGACGTGAGCTACCTAATACAACTCCAATTTATTTCAAATATAGTACAGAGCATTCTCTCTTACGATGATATAATGGAGAAAAGTCTAGACTAAAATACTGAGATTTTAGAACCATTTTCTTGCTAATTCATTCTGTGACCTCAATTAAGTAACTCATCAGCTCCTCTGGTTTCTCATTGTGTAACGGGTAAATCACACCTCCCACTGTGGTCGGACTATATGAAAAAACGGCTGTGAAAATGCTTAGAAAAATGTGAAGAGTGATGTGCGCATATGTTATTTCTACTTATTAAAAAGGTTGTCACATTAATAGAGTGCCTTTTGAGCCACTGTTGTGTAAATAAAAGCAATACCTTGGTACGCAGGAGAAAAGTCAAAGATCCTAAACATCCACTAAAAATAACATTGGCAGTTTATTTCTAAGACTGACCTATTTTTAAAGGAGCGTCAGGAGCACTGTCGGGTCTCTCTGAGAATGTGAAATATTCTATATTTGCCAAAGGGGTGATGGACGCCAAGCGAGAGCAAGCCCGGGAGGGTTCGGTGGGCTGTTGTGGAGGGTCACAGGTCCGGGGGTCCAGGCTGTGGGGGTTGCATGGGTGGTGGTGGAGCCAGAGCACCCCCAGCACTGCCCCTGTCTCCCATAGCCCCTTCATCTGCCTGTGGGCTGTGGCTCCTCTAAGACCTACAGGATGGCCTGCCTCTTGGGGGCAGGTGGTGGCTGCTGTCATCCCCTCTGGGTTCACCCAGGCGCTGGCAGAGCACATCCATCAGAGCAGATCCCCGTTAAGTCTTGAAGAGTTAAGAACCGAGGGATGGGTGGAGGTGCAGAGAGACACTGGGGATGCCGGGGGAGCCCGCCAGGGAAGCTCCAAGGTTCTAGAGGCAGGCTGACTCACCGCAACCTGTGTGGAGAAAGAGGTCCCCTGGGTCAGCTTGCATGCAGGAAAGGTAAAGTTAATACCGAAAACCCCAGGAGGATGGGTAGTGGAGGAACCACCAACCCGAGGACGTGGCATCTATGTTTACTGGAGAGGGACAGATCAAGCCCCAAATGAAAAGGCAGCCACTCCCAGGGTGCCCAGTGGAACGGCGGCCGTGGGGCTGTGCCTGTTCTCGGGTGAGTGACGCTCCCACCATGCCGACTGGTGGGGGTGGCTGGTGCAGATACCCGAACCAGACGAGCACACCTGGGGCCCCTGCACCTTTGCACCATCCGTGGAGAACCCACCAGGACACTGGGAACATCTCTGAGTGGGGCTGCCCAAGGGTCAGCCTGGTGGGGGTGGGCGGTTTGGCTGATGGTTTTCAAAGGGCAGATGTCTGCAGGAACTTTAGAACTAGTGAGACAGTTCTCACTGCAAAAGACAGGAGCTCCAGGAGAACAAAGAAAGATGAGAGGCCAATTGTCCCTTGAATGTTTTAATTTCGAGGAGGGGGACATTCAGCATGACCTTGGCACCAACCCACCAGATTTCCTTAGAAAGTTAGCAGGACAAGTGTTGGCCTCGTTACTGGGATTCACATCTTAAATATTAAGTAAAAGGCACTGACATTTCCTCATAACTCTATCTAGGGAGGTGACTGGCCTCTAGCACTGGCCTCATCTATGCTATAAGGGTTCTGAGACCCCAGAATGATGCGCATGTTAGTTACCGGGAGTCCTGGCAGGAGAGAGGAGTAAGACAAAGCTAACACAAGCGTCCGCCTCGCATGGGCAGAATCACATCCACAAGCGGGTGGCGTTTTCTCTGAGGGAGTTGCCCAACAAGGGCAGCATGGAGGTTGCCTTTTGGAAATGTGTGCTGTAGTCTGGGTTTTGCTGTGTGACCTGGGAGGATTTGCTTGGGTTCTCTGGGCCCCACTTCCTCATTTTAAGATTGGAGCCAGTGTCTACTACACTTTGCTGTGTTGTTTCAAAAATCTGTTATCTCAAGAAAATAAGCACAGGGAAGACGGGCTTGCCTGGGGAAACTGTCAGCCCGACAGAAAGGGAGCAGGCTGGTACTGACAGTGTCCCCTGCCCAGATGGGAGGCAATGGCATTGGTGAGGAGGGGGTCTTCATGGCCCAAACCCCATGGGCCCCAAACCAAAGGCCAAAAGCTACCATGCTGAGGAAGCTTACGTATTTTTCACCATTAGAGTGTAAAGTTGAACTGAAACTTCACTGCTGTTCCCTGCCCCTTTGGGATCCTCAGAGGTGGCTGAGGACCCAGACCACAGCTGAGCAGCAGCGCCTGGCTCCCTGGGAGGCTCAGGGGTCCTGGGAAGGTTCCTTCCCTGAAACCACAACAGTTTCTGCCTCTAACTGGGACACCTGGTGCCTAGACTGCAAGAATTAAGAATTATGGATTCCCTTGCACAGCTGCTAAAATACAAATTCTCCAGGTCACTGATAAAGTGGAAAGGCAAGGGGCATTGTTCTAAGGGTCCTTCAGTCATGTGAACACTAGCCTAAGAGAGGCTCTAAGCTTGGCAGCTCAGAGAGCTGACCCTGGAGCCAAACGGAAATCCCATGCAGCCCAGCTCCACCACCTCCCGGCTACATGACCTGGGACATCTATCCCTTCCTGCCCTGGATTTCTAACTAATAACACAGGATGCTAATAACAGCACAACCTCACAGGGATGTTGGGAGACAACAGACATTGTCAGTACCAGACTGCACCTTCTTCATTGGGCAGGCAGCTTCTCCAGCCAAGCCCATCTTCCTGTGCTCAGGTCCTTATTTTCTTTCTTTCTTTCTTTCTTTCTTTCTTTCTTTCTTTCTTTCTTTCTTTCTTTCTTTCTTTCTTTCTTTCTTTCTTTCTTTCTTTCTTTCTCTCTCTCTCTCTCTCTCTCTCTCTCTCTCTCTCTCTTTCTTTCTTTCTTTCTTTCTTTTTTTGAGACAGAGTCTCACTGTGTCACCTGGGCTGGAGTGCAGTGGCACAATCTCGGCTCACTGCAAGCTCCACCTCCTGGGTTCACGTCATTCTCCTGCCTCAGCCTCCTGAGTGGCTGGGACTACAGGCACCTGCCACCATGCCTGGCTAATTTTTTGTATTTTTAGTAGAGATCGGGTTTCACCGTGTTAGCCAGGATGGTCTCCATCTCCTGACCTCATGATCCGTCTGCCTCAGCCTCCCAAAGTGCTGGGATTACAGGCGTGAGCCACTGTACCCAGCCCCTTAACAGATTTTTGAAACAACACAGCAAAGTGTAGTAGACACTGGCTCCAATCTTAAAATGAGGAAATGGGGCCCAGAGAACTCAAGCAAATCCTCCCAGGTCACACAGCAAAACCCAGACTACAGCACACATTTCCAAAAGGCAACCTCCATGCTGCCCTTGCTGGGCAACTCCCTCAGAGAAAACGCCACCCGCTTGTGGATGTGATTCTGCCCATGCGAGGCGGACGCTTGTGTTAGCTTTGTCTTACTCCTCTCTCCTGCCAGGACTCCCGGTAACTAACATGCGCATTATTCTGGGGTCTCAGAACCCTTATAGCATAGATGAGGCCAGTGCTAGAGGCCAGTCACCTCTCTAGATAGAGTTATGAGGAAATGTCAGTGCCTTTTACTTAATATTTAAGATGTGAATCCCAGTAACGAGGCCAACACTTGTCCTGCTAGCTTTCTAAGGAAATCTGGTGGGTTGGTGCCAAGGTCATGCTGAATGTCTCCCTCCTCGAAATTAAAACATTCAAGGGAAAATTGGCCTCTCGTCTTTCCTTGTTCTCCTGTTGGCTTAGATGGTGGGCAGTTGATATGGTGTGGATCTGTGTCCCCACCCAAATAAGGAATCATGTTGAATGTGATCCCCTTGTTGAAGGTGGGGCCTGGTAGGAGGTAGTTGGATCATGGGATGGATCCTTCATAAATGGTTTAGCACCATCTCCTTGGTGCTGTCTCATGATAGAGTTTTCATAAGATCTGGTTGATTAAACGTCTGTAGCACCTGCCCTGACCCCTTCCTCCTGCTCTAGCTATGGGAGAGGTGCCTGCTTCCCCTTGGCCTTCCGCCATGATTGTAAGTTTCCTGAGGCCTCCCAGGAAGCCGACGCTGCCATGCTTGCCGTACAGCATCTGTAGTCAGCAGTCTCACACGCTGCCAGATAAGCCTCGTGAGTGCTTCTCTTCTTCTTTTATTATTATTTATTTATTTTTGAGGCAGGATTTCCCTCTGGAGTGCAGTGGGGCAGTCTCAGCTCACTGCAACCTCCACCTCTTGAGCTCAAGCGATCCTCCTAGCTCAGCCTCTGAGTAGCTGGGACCACAGGCATGTGCCGCCACACCCAGCTTATTTTTGCATTTTTTGTAGAGATGGAGTCTTTCTGTCTTACCCAGGCTGGTCTCAAACTCCTAGGCTTAAGCGATCTTCCTGCCTTGGCCTTCCAAAGTGCTAGGATTATAGCCATGTTCTTTTTTAAGAAAAATCTCAAAATTTGGCCTGGCACGGTGGCTCACGCCTGTAATCCCAGCACTTTGGGAGGCTGAGGCGGGTGGATAGCCTGAGGTCGGGAATTCAAGACCAGCCTGACCAACATGCAGAAACTCTGTCTCTACTAAAAATACACAATTAGCAGGGCATGGTGGTGCATGCCTATAATTCCAGCTACTCGGGAGGCTGAGGCAGGAGAATCGCTTTAACCCGGGAGGCAGAGGTTGCGGTGAGCTGAGATCACGCCATTGCACTCCAATCTGGGCAACAAGAGCAAAACTCCATCTCAAAAATTAAAAAAATCTGAAAATCTTTACAGAAGTCACAGTCTTGGCATTTCCCACTGAAGGTTTATACCAATGATACTGCCCTCCATAATGCTCGTCATTCATTTGTGGTGAACTATGTGCAAGCCCAGGAGAAACAAAAGTCCACAGGGGCAGATCAGAGAAGCATCTTCAGCCTCAAAAGGACATACGTAAGTTGGGGATGTGGGCCTGAGTAGCAGTAGCAAGGTGTGGGGGATCCACTGTGGCATCCACACCACACGTGACAATCCCTGCGAGTGCCAGGTTTCAGGGACACTCGGCTGAGGATGATCATTGGGATCCATCAGTGATCGAGGGCGTCGGACCCCGTAGCGGGGCCTCTTGGGCATCTTCCCATTTGAATGTCACACCCTCTATACGGCCGGGACTGTTACCATGATTTCTTTTACAAATGATGAAACCGAGGCACTGAGAGGCTCAGGACCTTGCTTAGGCGGCCCAGAGAGTGGGTGGCAGAGATGGGATTTGTGGTAGGCCCTTGGGTCCTGCGGTCACTCACATAGCACTGCCGCTGGTATCACGGAGCCAGTCCAGTGGGTGTGTGAAGCGACTGAACCTTCACCAGTCTGCCTGTAGTTTCCCCTCTGTGCCTGCTCATGGTTGCTTTCTCAGAAGGGAGGCTGCACGCCCCATAAAGGCCCACAAAACACAGACACATACACAAATCTATCCTTGGCCGAATCCCGCTCTGCCGTCCCCATCACCGTGGGTGGCCAAGGCAGGACACGCATATCAGATGCCCCCACTCTGCACCCACCTTCCTGTCAGCCTGCGCCTCCTATTCGTAGAACCCCTGGTAGTTGAAGTTGTCGGACTGGATTTTAAAGTTGTATCTCCCATTCATTCTCCGGTAGTGCACAATCAGAAGGGTGGCTGCCCCCGCCACCAGCGTAAAGATGGCCACATAACTGGCCACAAGGAGGACCACATAACTGGCATCCAGGCCTGCTTCTGCACGTGGAGGCTCACCTGGGGGAGGAGGCAGGCACAGGTGAGAGATCTGCCCAAACAGGAGCAAGGCGATGGAGCAAGCCCTCTACCCGGATCTGGGGCTGATGGAGCTGAAGCATGGGGAGTGCAAGGCCCACGTGTGCACCCGTGTGCCTGTGGGTTACCAAAGGCGAGGCAGGTGTCCAAGCCCAGGACAGCATTGCAGTAAGGACAGCGCAGCCTGGGGAGGCCTGGGCCACGAGGGTGGGATGTAATCCCAGCTACTTGGGAGGCTGAGGCTGAAGAATAGCTTGAACCCGGGAGGTGGAGGTTGTAGTGAGCCGAGATCACGCCACTGCACTCCAGTCTGGCGACAGAGCAAAACTCCATCTAAAAAAAAAAGAAAGAAAAGAAAGAAAGAGAGAGAGAGAGAGGAAGGAAGGAAGGAAGGAAGGAAGGAAGGAAGGAAGGAAGGAAGGAAGGAAGGAAGGGAAGGAAGGAAGGGAAGGAAGGAAGGGAGGGAAAGAGGAAAGAAAGAAAGAAAAAAAGAAAGAAAGAGAAAGAAAGAGAGAAAGAAAGAAAGAGAAAGAAAGAAAGAGAGAGAGAGGGGAAGGAAGGAAGGAAGGAAGGGAAAGAAAGAGAAAGAAAAAAAGAAAGAGAGAAAGAAAGAGAGAAAGAAAGAAAGAAAGAAAGAAAGAAAGAAAGAAAGAAAGAAAGAAAGAAAGAAAGAAAGAAAGAAAGTGGACCCTAAAAGACATGAAGACAGGGATTCAAATAGCTACTTGCACACCCATGCTCACAGCACCAGCCGCAGGGTGGCAACAACCCAGGTGTCCGCCAGCTGGTGCCTGAATCAACACACTGTGGCCCACCGTGCAATGGAACGTGACACAGCCGTGAAAGGAATAAAGCACTGACCTGCGGCAACACAAATTAACCTTGAAGACGTCACGCTGCGTGAAAGAAGTCAGGCCCCAGAGGCACCTATAACATGATCCTGTTCATAGGAACTACCCAGAACCAGACAGAAAGCAAATGAGGGACTTTCGGGGACGGGCAGAAGGCGGATGGGGAGGGACTCGTGAGTATGAAGTTGCGTTTAGGGCGAGGAAAATGTTTAGAAACTACAAGGAGTTGGTGGCGATACAACTCTGTCAATGCACTAAACATCACTGAGCGGTTTACTTCAACACAGTTAGCTTGAGGTTATATGAATGTCATCTCAGTTTCCTTTTTTAAAAACTGTGCTACCTGAGAAAGATGCCAGCTGCCTGCTGGCTCTCTGGCCGGCCCCCATCAGCCCAGGGGCAGACGTGACCCTCTGCCCACCGTGCGTGGGTGTAACTTGTTGTCAAGGGCATCTATAGCCAGGTCACAGCTACATCCTGCACCATGCAGTGCCCTCCGTCTCGGGGTGTTCATCCCCACGTATCAGGAAGGTCTGCTTTGGAAAGAGCCTTTCTATGCAACCAGGAGCATTTGAGATCCCATTTGCATTCCCTGTATTGATTTCCGGGCAGTCTGCCCAGACTGGACACTGCTGTATAGCATGGGGGTGTCACCATCAGCAAAGCTGTCCAACAGTGGCACTGGGGGATCCCTGGGGTGCTGAACATAAGCCAGCTAGAACCACACCACTCCTCTTCCGGAGAGAGGAACAGGGAACACCTCCCCCGCTCCAGCCAAAGTGACTCCAACCTCCCCAAGCAACTGAGGCCCCCAGATCCTGGCCCGCCACTTCTCCAGACAACTCCTAAATCATCATGGCCACTAAATCCAGCCCCCAGGGGCTCTATAGTGGACCTTCCTCCTGTGCCTCCAGAGACAGGCCACCTTGCCAGTACAAGGAGTGGGGGGTGCCGCCCTGAGGATGCTGTAGAGAAAGACCAAGGAGACCCGCTTCTCCTGGCCACTTGCAGCCCGGAATGGCCCCAGACTGTCAGCCCCGGGAAAGACCCAGCCGTGTTCATTCTCCGCCTCTCCAGCTAGGTTTCTGTGACCCGCAGCTGCGTGCTCCGAACTGAACCACTAGCTAAGGGCTGGCCACAGGAGGTCCGCAGGCCAGTGCTGCCCACTGACTGACACCGAAGTCCAGGAATGGTTACTCCCCATGGCTGGATTAGCTAGAAGTGGAGAGCAAGCCCTGAGAACTGTGGATGGTAATTTCCCACAGTCATTGGCAAGGCATCCGGCCAAACAGGGCATCTTGCTGTTCAGGGAGGCTCCAGGCATGTGGCGTGAGTTGCGTATGCATCATAACCGCTGGACCACACACCAGTCCATGATGCAGGGAGATGTAAATGATTGCGGAGACTCAGCAATGGCTGCTTTTGTAAAGGGGGATATAGCCCAGTGAGGGAAAGGGAAGATGGCATGTGGGGCTTAAAACCTAGATGATGGTTTGATGGGTGCAGCAAACCACCGTGGCACATGTACACCTATGTAACGACCTGCACGTTCTGCACATGTATCCCAGAACTGAAAGGAAAATAAAAAATTGCCAGGCACGGTGGCTCACACCTATAATCCCAGAACTTTGGGAGGCTGAGGCGGGCGGATCACAAAGTCAGGAGATCGAGACCATCCGGGCCAACATGGTAAAACCCCCATCTCTACTAAAAAAATACAAACAAACAAAAGAATTAGTCAGGTGTGGTGGCGCATGCCTGTAGTCCCAGCTACTCAGGAGGCTGAGGCAGGAGAATTGCTTGAACCCGGGAGGCAGGGGCTGCAGTGAGCCGAGATCACACCACTGCACTCCAGCCTGGGCAACAGAGCGAGACTCTGTCTCAGAAATAAATAATTAATTTTAAAAATTAAAAAAGAACCTGGGTGCAGAGGAAACAGGGCCCTTCCAGGACCACCGCCTGGGGTCCTCAGTCTCCTCACTACTGAGTGGCCTCAGTAATTGCCCCAGGCCCTTCCTGCTGGGACACAGAGCACTCCCTGGACACTATCCTCGAGCTTTCTTGGCCATTTAGCACAGGGACATGCTCATGAATATGAAATAACTAGGCCAGCTAGGAAAGGCCATGGAAGGTTTCCAAACACTGAATATGCAAAAATTATGATACTGATATACTATTTGTTGGTAGCAGACATTCCGGGAAGATGCCCAAAGGGATTCTTTCTTAAATTGTCAATACACAGGGTTGAATTGTGAACCCCTCACCCCCTGCAAAAACAGATATGTTGACACTTTGGGAGGCCAAGGCAGGTGGATCATGAGGTCAAGAGATTGAGACCATCCTGGCCAACGTGATGAAACCCCATCTCTACTGAAAATACAAAAATTAGCTTGGCGTGGTGGCCCACACCTGTAGCCCCAGCTAGTCTGGAGGCTGAGGCAGGAGAATTGCTTGAACCCGGGAGGCAGAGGTTGCAGTGAGCCGAGATCACGCCACTGCACTCCAGCCTGATGACAGAGCGAGACTCTGTCTCAAGGGAAAAAAAAAAGAGACAAAACAAAAAACATATATGTTGAAATCCTAACCCCTAGTACTGTGGGGTTGTTGTTATGGCCTTATTTGGAAATGGAATTGTTGCAGATTCAAGTAGTTAAGATAAAGCCACACTCAGGTAGAAAGGCCCCTAGTCCAACATGACTGGCGTCTTTATAAAAAGAAGGCCACGTGCACACAGGGGCACAGACTGGAGGGAGGTAGCTGCAAGCCAAGGTCCACCAAAGATTGGGCGCATCCAGCAGAAATGAGGTAGGGGCAAGGGAGGACTCAGCCTTACAATGTTCTGAGGGACTGGGGCTTTGCCAGCACCTTGATTTTGGATGTCTGGCCTCCAGAACTGGGAGAGAACAGATTTCTGTTGTTTAAGCCACACAGGCTGCGGGACTTTGTTACGGTGGTGCCAGGACATCGTGAGTGTGATGTGAGGGCTGGGGTGGAGGGAAACCTCAAAATGAAGCCAGCCCAGTCCCCAGGGGACAGGGAGAGGACAGCAGGTTATGAATAGCCTGGATCTGCACTCGCAGGCCCAGCTCATGCGGGCACCAGCTGTGGGAGCTTAGGCACATTCCCTAAAATCTCTGAGTTCTTCTCATTTCTTCCCTGAAGTGGAGCTGATGGTGATGGCAGGGACAAAGCATGGGAGCTCAGAGGCCGTGGATAGTGGTGAGGTCCTGAGGAACCTGTCTGCCAGCCTCCTCTCACCTCTGCAGTCTCCAACAGCGTTTCTGTTAATATACACTATTAAAATGCAGTGAAGTCCCCACCAACTGGGAGATTCCATGTGTCTAAATGATTCTGCTGTGTATTTGTATGATAATCATAGATCAAGCAAAAGCTACTAACACAATGAGAAAGAATGTTGAACAACATGAATATCTACAGTCCTTGTTCTTGAGTCTGAGTAATTACACCCCTATTACATTCGGTACTTCCTGCCTTGGTTATGCCAGTGTAGTGCTCTACTGGTTACAAGTGAAAAGTAGCACTTAATCAATAACTTCTATGGGCCAGGCTCTTTATGAAGTAAGAATTATTATTATTCCCTTTTCACAGATGAGGAAAATAAGGCACAATTCACATGCAGCATGCACAAAGCCACAAAATTGTTAAGTGTCAGAGCCAAGTTGTGAATCCAGGGAGTCTAGTTTCAACCTCACAAATCTTAGCCTCACAAAGGATTCTTAGTTACCGTCAGACACTCACAACAACCTTATGAGGTAGGCAGGGCATGTTGCAAAGAAAAATCAGAGTGTCTGAAACATAGTAGATGAATGAATTTATGAATAAGTAGGTAGATGGATGAGTGAGTGGATGGATTAATGGACAGATAGATGGATGATGGAGGATGCATGGATAAATGGATGGATGGATGAATGAAGGGATGATAGAAGGATAGATGATAGATGGATGAATGGATGATGATAGATAGATGGATGACAGATGGATAGATGGATGATAGTTGAATGAATGGATGGATGGATGATAGATGGATGGATGGACGGATGATGGATGGATGATAGATGGGTGGATTAATGAATGAGTGGATGGATGGATGATCAATGGATAGATCAATTGATGGATGGATGATAGATGAGTGGATGGATGGATGATAGATGAATGAATGGGTGGATGAATGGATGACCAATGGATAGATGGATGGATGGATTATAGATGAGTGGATGGATGAATGGATGGATGGATGGATGATAGATGAATGCATGACAGATGAAGGATGGTAGATGGATAGATGAATGAATGGCTACATGCATGGATGGATGGATGGTTGGATAAATGATAAATGGAAAGATGAGCAGATAGATGTATGGGTGGATGATGGATGAACCACATAGCTCATAAGTGTCAGAGCCTATAATCAAACTCAGGTGTCCCAACTCCAAGTGTAGTGCTTTTCTTCCCTAGTTATGACATTCCCTATAATATCAATGAATGAAGGAGGAAGTTTAATTTCTATTCATGAAAGAACACATTATCTATTAATGAGAATGTATTTCACACATATGCTATTTCTTATAGTGTTAAAGAAATAGGTTGACCCGTTCTTCCCAGCATTTTAAGAAAATGAAGAGTGAGGAGAAGCAGGTTGTCCTAGCACCTTGACCAACAGTCACCTGATGACCAGCTCAGGGGCCTGGGACACAACTCTGAGATTCTGAGTGTGTAGTCCTGGGGTGTGGCCTGGGACCTGTGTCTACTTTTTCAGTTTCCCAAATGCTTTGGATGAGAACCAGCAGTTCCGTCACCGGCCAAGACTTCCCTCCTCCTGTTCCTCAGCTTCATGGCCAAGACCTGAGCAGCATTCAGATTCCGGTTCACACCCTGCATCCAAACCTCAGAAGTTCTCATACAGGGAGAGAAGGGAGAGGGTCACCACGATTAGGGGAAAAAAACAACAAAAAAGGAAAACCAACTAGGATTAGGCTAAGCAGCAAGAAAGAGAAAAAAAAATCAAAATAGCAGTGGCTTAAAGCACATGGAAGTTTCCTTCTTTCTGTCATAAAAATGGGGGCCATGCTGGGCACGGTGGCTCACACCTGTAATCCCAGCACTTTGGGAGGCTGAGGCGGGCAGATCACGAGGTCAGGAGATCGAGACCATCCCAGCTAACACGGTGAAACCCCGTCTCTACTAAAGATACAAAAAATTAGCTGGGCGTGGTGGCGGGTGCCCGTAGTCCCTGCTACTTGGGAGTCTGAGGCAGGAGAATGGCGTGAACCCGGGAGGCAGAGCTTGCAGTGAGCCGAGATTGCGCCACTGCACTCCAGCCTGGGTGACAGAGCGAGACTCCGTCTCAGAAAAAAAAAAAGTGGGGGGTCAGAACCCAGGCCTGCCTTGGCCACTTGCCCACAGTGTCCTGGGGAAGCCGGATCCCTCCACGGACTGGGCCCCATCGCCCTAAAGAAGAAAGAGGCAGAGGACAGGCACAGACGTCTTTTAAGGAGGGTGCACCGCTAAAAGTTGTCACATGACTTTCCCACTTAGATCTCATTGGCCAGAACTTACTTACATGGCCGCACTTAGCTGCCAGGTTGGAATTACAGTTTTTATTCCTGGCAGCCACGTACCAGCAAAAGCTGGGGTCGCTATTCCTGTGAAAGGGGAGGAGAACAGATACTATGGGACAACTAGTGGTGTCTCTCTTAATACCCAAAGCACACAATTTCCCCCAAACCAATGTATTTTTTTCAAAATAAGATGATGGACTATACAGAAAATAAAATGTTTTTCTGGAAAATTGATGTGGAGTTTTGAAAATACATGCAATGTAATTGGCTGATGGAAGTTTTAAACTGAGGATGAACAGACATGCCATTTTTTGCATCTTTTGAATAAAATAGCTTTTTCTTGTGCATGCATTTGTGCGTGCGTGCACACACACACACGTTGACATGGTCTGATTATAGCTTGCGTTCTTATCTCTTAACAACCCACTGGGTGTATCATTTACCCAGTGTCAGAAAACTTCACCAGCTTGATATTATGCAGCTCAAAACATTTCATTATGTAACTTTGTGCCTGGCCTTTTGAAGTCTCAGTGTTTCCATCTGTAGCATGGGTACAGTAATAGGTCGTGCTCCTAGGGTTGCTGAGAGGATCATACTACATTCTGCATGTGAAGAACGTAGCGCCAGGCTGACACATAGCAGCTCTCAGTGAAGAGTAACTATTAGTATTTCTATTATTATAAGCCTCTTAGAAGTCTCTCAAGAGTTCTGCATTTCAAAACAGTTGCTTTTTTGTTTATATGCTGGTGAAAAGGAATTGGTTGCATCTTTTCTTTTGTTGTCTAAACCAAGTCATCAACTCACCTTCAGACCTGACGAGGGGTCCCCAGGACATCTGGTGTGTGGCCGAGGTTTCACTAGTTTGCAGCAACCGAAAGTTATTGCAATTCTGGTTTTTTCCAAGGAGAGAAACATCAAATTAATTGAACACCACTTACGAGAAAGGAGCTACTATCAAGGATGCTGATGTGATTCATGCGATTTTATCCTGCTAGAAGTTGCAAGGCAAGGGGGCTGAGATTAGACAGAGGAGTGGGAGACCCGGTGAGACCAGGGTGGTGGGTCCTGGTGCAACAAGAGGCAGGCCCAGGCGGCAGCGGGGAAGGAGGCGAGGCCTGAAAGAGCAGCAGGGCTGGAAGAGGCCCCTTGAGCTGCTTTTGGTTCCTAGAGCTGCTTCCTTGGGTCCCTTGAGGACTGTGTCTTGGTCACAGCCCTAAGAGTCCCTCCGTGTTCTCCAAAGGCTGCTGCAGCCATTTGCTCCCCTCTACACCTCCGCCTCACAAGAAAGACTGCCCGGCTCAGTGACATGGTAGGATCTGCTCACTAGATGCCTGAGATGGGCTGCAACATGTCCTCCAAAAAGGTATGGAAGTCCTAAATCCCAACACCTGTGCATGTGACCTTATTTGGAAACAGATAATCAAGCTGAGGTCACTGGGATGGGCCCTAATCCACTATGGCTGGGGTCCCTATGTAAAGGGGAAATTTGGACACAGACATAGATGTGTACTGAGGGAAGGTGATGCAAAGAGACAGGGCAAATGCCGTCTACCAGCCAAGGAACGCCTGAGGCCACCAGAAGCTGGGAGAGAGGCCTGGGACAGATCCTTTCTTTAGAGCTCTCAGAGGGAACCAGCCGGCTGACACCTCCATCTTGGACATCCAGAACCAAGACAACATGTCTCCACTGTTTAAACCGTTCAGTTTGTGGTACGTTCCTACAGCAGCCTGGAAAGCTCATACACTATCCACTCTAAAAGGGCTTGAAAAAAACAGTGTGCCGCTCCTCTTGTAAGGAATCCTCTTGTAAAGAACTTGAGAGCCAGCCACTCCCTGCAGAGACCAAGCCTGGCAGTGGCCGTCTGTGTGTCTGTCATCTCTGAGGCTCCAATGGAACCAGGGGCAGGCTCCTCGTGTGTGGCCCTCAGCCTGCTGTCATTAGGACCTGAGGTTCCTTCTGTCCCATTGCTCAGGAAGATCCACCATTTGAGCAAAACGGACATGAACAGAATCAGCCTTCCTTGTGTTGCTTCTCTATCCACGTCCCGCAGACGCTCAGAGCTCGGTCACCCAGGAAAACAGCCGCATTCTGCGACGCGTGCTCAGATGAGCGCAGGAACAAGCACTCCCTCCGAGGAGAGAGAAGCATTCGGTCACTGAGCAAAAAGCAGTGTGCACCCTAAGCTGTCCCCTGCCTCGGACGACAGGAGACCAACACGTGGGAACCGCATGTACTTGTCTGTGATATAAAGCACAGCTTTCAGACCTCAGGATTACAAAACCTATTTCAAATTCGAAAGTCTAAGGAAACGGGAATGTAAAATTAGCCCTGCCTAAATGTTGAAGAAAGGAAAGGGGAAAAGAACTTTATTAAATAACAGAGTGGCTGATATTTAGTATGTTCCATCAATGTGGTTAAAAATAATATTTAAAAAACATTTTTACACCTAAAAATCACCTTAGAAGCACTAGGTATCATGGCAAGGCAGTGCCGATGTGACAGCCGGTTGAACATTATGGCCTCTAAAAGGAAATTAGCTCAGCCACTGAGAAATGGGAAATGCCCACCAGTTCACACGAGTCCTCCGTGCAAGGGCTGCCTGCTGTGGAAATACCATTTCAGACGCGGAGTCTGCAGGACAGGCACAGCGACTCCTCCCAGAGGTCGGCCCGGAGCCACCCAAGCCCCAGGCTGCTATTAACAGAGCCCTTGCATCATAACGATAAGCAATGTGAATCCAACCAAACATTTAGAAAACCAAAAACACACTTACGATTTTGCACGTGGCCCCGGGGGATTCCATGCAGATGCGGAGTTTGCAGTGCAGATAGACGATGGGGTTGTTGATAAAGGAGAAGATTCTCAGCTTGAACTGAGCCTTGCTGGAGTTGCCATTCTCAATCACGCTGGTGTATGTGTTGGGCACCGGGCAGCTGAGAAGAGAGGAAAAGGGACTCCTTGCTTGTCAGCGAGTCCTGCTGTCCTTGTTCTCAGATAAGGTTGCTCACAACTACATCTGACAATGCTCACAGATCCCACAGGCTCCATGGGAGTCGAGGACCGGCCACCTCATTTATTCCCCAAAACCCAGGTCCACGACAGCACTTGCCTGAAAATCCTGCAGAGTCCAGAGCCAGCCACACAGCCAGGCCAGGCAACGGCAGTGCCCGCTTGAGCCCTACCCGTTCTTAATGAAGCCGCAAGCATTGCTGGATGGGGGTGCCTGCACTCCTGAGCCCTACCTGTTGTTAATGAAGCTGAAGGTGACCGGGTCCCGGGCGTTGCTGGACGGGGTTGCCCAGCACTCCGTCAGGACCACCTTGAGGTTGCTTTTCTGCCTGTAGAGCCCCACTTCGATCTTGACGTCGTCACTGGCAGACACGCTATAATTCTGAGGTATGGGAGAGTCCCCGATAAACAACTGCATTTCGGTAACAAAATTTCCAGCGCCGTGGAGGTCCTCAATGATGGTGTAAACCCTGCAAGAGGAAGCAGCTTGCAGGAGGTGGCTTTCAGGAGGTGCATTATCGTGGCCCCTCTCGTTCCCACTTCTCCCCCAAAACACAGCTCCAGAGGAGCGTGCAAATGAATGAGAAGATCCCCCACTGCCAATGAGAGCACACGGAGGCCATGTGTTCAAGACTGGCTGGTCCAGGGGTTGCCTCCCTCACTTGTGTTGGTGGAAACTCAGTGGCAGGTGGGGGGGCCACCTAGCATAGGAATAGTGGTGTCTGGTGGAGGCCGTGGGTGGGGGCCTGCCCGTGGCTCACTGGAAGTGGGGCCAGCCCATGGGGTTGGCCAGGGACGTATTTGGCCTTGTCTGGCTGGCCCTGAGTGGGAAGTGGGAACAAAGGTTGGGGAGCAGCCCAGCCACACCCATTTGTATATTCCATCTCAAAGGAAGGGTCCTTAAGTGGTTGCAACCCTAAAGAACTCTGAAAGCGCAGGTGCTCTAGAGGCACGGGGCTGTGGAACAGCGGGGGCATTTCTCCCTCACCCCCACTCCGGGGTGAAGCCGGAGGACGTCAGCAGATCATTCTGGAAGGCACAGTAGATGGGGCTCAGGATCTTCAGGTAGTGGATGATGCCCTCCGGGGACAGGTCGTTCCTCAGCGTGGTCCTCACCACGGTGTTCGTCACATTCTGAGCACAAAGTGGGGTGTGAGGAGCTCCCAGGCCCCAGCCGGCCCCCCACGCCCTGCTGTCAGCCATGGCTCTAGGTGCTGGGGGGACCGAGGATGGGGATTCTTCTCTAGAGCTTCTCCCCAGGAGCATTGAGACCCTGGCGATTCTCCCAACCATAAATCGCCCAAGAGAGCCTAAGGGCTCGGCCTCTGCCCTTTCCCTGTGGACCAGAGGAGGCAGAACCTGAACCTGTGTGGATTCTGTGGCCGTTGCACAAATAAGTCTTTCTGGGAAACTTAGTTTTTGACAAGTGTCAAAAACCATCAAGAGCTCCTGTGGATTCCAGGGCCTGGGTGACTCATCAGAGACAAATTTCCCTTTTCTTTCAACATGCCCCAAACCCTGCTGCATTTAATAATCAAGCCAAGCGTGGGTCTAGCTCAGAAAAACACAGAGGGAGCTGCCGGCTGCAGGCTCCGCCTGGGGCCCCAGCCCTGGGAGGCGCTGCCGCCCCCCTGGAGCTGCTGGTGTGTGGGTGCTGCTCTGAGCACCAGGCAGGGTGTCCTGCACCCTCAGCCCCTCCACTCAGCCCCACAGCCCTGCACAGGCTCGAGGATGCCACAGTGGCCCGCTCATGTGCACCTCTCACCCCAGACCTCCCTCACCACGGAAGCTGCCAGAAGCCACAGGAGCCACTGATCACTGCCCATCCCCCTTGCAGACATCCCCCCTGCTGCCATCGCCCGGCCTCCAGGTGGCTGTCTAAGAATCTCTGAGGGAGTAAACTAATTCTGGGCAGTTCTCCTTAAGTCGTGCAGTTTGAGGGGTTGAGGGATGAGGAAGGTTTTGTAGCTGTTGAAACAGTGCAGGTCACTCCTTCAGCCCAGGGAGGGTCCGAAGAGCCCCCGAGGGAGCGGAATGAGCTCAGCAGAGTGAGCTGCGCCTCTCAGGCAAGCTTGTGCTCTGCAATGTCCTCGAACACGTCCATGTGAATCCCTCAGCTTCCTGGCCACCCTCAATCCCTGCTCCAGGCTCCAAGCAGGCTCCACACCATGGAACCACCTTATGTCTCCACCTCCCCACCTCATCCCTCAGCCTCTGGGGCTTTCTGGCCTCTGCTCCCCAGGGCTAGCTCCTTACTCAGCCCCGAGGTCCACGCCCCAGCCTCCCGCTCAGGATGTTCACCTGGTTCCCACCTTGTTGACTCCCAGACATTGACACCCCATGCCGGACTCTGGGTTTCATCTGCCAGCTTTACCCCACCCAGGGCCAGAGGCCACCGTGTCCCCACTAGGGAGTGTGTCCAGAGCCCCAACCAGAAGCAGCGCCCCCTCAAGGTTTCTCAAGAGGCAGAGCCACAGAGATGGGGCTGCTTCTCGGTGCAGGGCGACTTCAAACCTGAACTCCCATGGACCCTGCTGAGCACCCAGGGCTCAGCCGCCGAGTGTGGATGATGATGCCTGACCCATGGGGTCGCTAAGGGACTAAACATCGTCATGCATGTAGAATGTAGAACTCCCAGTCAGGCAGGTCCACAGCAGTTTCAGGGCACCACACCTCCCAATCCCTTTTTTTTTTCAGAATGCAATGCCTTGGACTGTTCAAAGGCCCTGAGGGACAGAAGCCCAGGGCTCAGAGTTCCTGCCAACGACCAGGAACCACCATTCCTGCCTAGCTCCCAATGAGGACAATGTCCCCATTAGGAAAGCCTTCTGGCCCTAGCTCCTGGGCCAGCCAGACACTGCTCCCTGCTCAGCCCCATCCACAGCCTCACCTTTCACACCAGGCCTCATACTCCACCCTGCCCACGAGTCCACCCTTCCATCCCTGCCCATCTGGCCAGAACCACTTGGGCAGACTCTTAACTCTGCCACGGTTTCCAGCCTCCCTCATCTGGCCGTCCCTGGCATGGCCCTTGGATACACTCACGGCTCTCTCACTCACCCTTGGATATACTCACGGCTCTCTCACTCACCCTTGGAACGACGCTGGCCTTCTTTCTAGGTCGAGCCCCTTCCCAGAAGGCCACTTCCCCAACCCAGAGCTGGCATGGGCTCCCTCTGAAGCCGCCGACCCCTCCATGCAGCTTCCCTGGTCAACCCTGCACGCCCAGGCCCATGCAGCCCAGGCCCCTGTGCCCAGTACTGGGCTGAGCTGATGGAAGGTGCTGGCTCTCCCCTCCTCTTGTCCCCGCAGCAGGGTCCTGAACATGAAGCCTTTGTGTTCTGTGTGGGGCCAAGTGGGGTTGGGGACGAACGAGGGCATGCGTGGGAGCATTCACCATGACACAGGGGCACCCTGGGAAGAAGTGGGACCTGGAGCCAGGTCGGCCACCTCGTGGGTGCCACACACTAGAGGCTCAGAGTAGACCCAGGACCCACTGGCCCAGAGTCACCTGCAAGGGGAGATGCCGGAGCTCATCTGTGCACACGGAGGTGCAAAGGCCTCAGGCCAAGAAAACCTGCTTTCCCTACCTGGGGCTCCCTCTGTCCTGGGAGCCCTGCAGCCCGTCCAGGACCCTGAAATAGAGTGTTTGCTAGGAACACAGTCCCTCCAACAGGGGAGTTCTGACTAATGCCACCCAATGCCCCCCAAACACACACCCATACATACACACTCACACACATGGACAAACACATCCACACATGCTCAACTCATGCACACATGCACATACACACATTCTCACATTCACACACTCACACATTCATACATGCATGCACACCCACACGCACATAAGCATGCGATACACATGCATGCACACACGCACGTACATACAAGCACAGCCATGCATACATACATACACATTTGCACACACAGATTCACACATGTACACACATTCACACACATACACACATTCACACACATGCACACCCCCACATACACAGACATATTCAGACACATGCACACATGCACAGATGTATACTCGCACACACACACTTTCGCACACACACACTTTCACACACACACTCTCATATCCACACACAACTCCTTGGCTTTCCTGCCTCTTCCTATCCCGCTGCCCCTCCATCCTGTCTGTGCAGGGAGGAGTTTTAAGCCCCGACTCTGGAGCCTGCCCCAGCACTCAGCACCAGAGTCCCTCCTGGGTGGACTCACAGCTCCCTTCCAATTCTGGGGTGCAGGCTGGTCCCTGGTTGAGAACTCAACCCTGTCCTGACCCCCCTTGCTGGGTTCCCCTCGGGGTGTAGAGTCTTGCCTGGCCCTCCCCTGTAGAGGCCCATGCGACCTAGAGCCCCCTGCGCCCTAGCGTGCATCCTGAACCTGGCTCTCCTGGCCTTACGCTCTGCATGATGGTCCCGCACTCGCTCCAGCTGGCCTCCAGGAGCACGTGTGTGCCATTGCTGTGGCTCACGTTGCAGGAGGGGTGGCTCAGGTACAGCGAGGACTCAGGGATGGATTCCTGCTGCAGGAAGCGCTTCTGGATGGCGATAACCACCTTCTCGATCTCACAGAGCACCCTGACTGCTCCCGTCAGGTTCAGCCGCCGGGGCAGGCCTTGTGGGGTGGGGCTGGTGTCTTGAACAAAGCCAGCCTTGGTCCCTGCTGTGGTGAGAGGCCTCTCTGGGCTGGTGGCCCAGCTTTCGTTGCCATGAGAGTCACCTGCAAGGCACAAGGAGGAAAAGGCAAAGAGTGGCTCTGTGTTTGGGGTTGGCATGGAGGGGCAGGGGTAAGGAGCAGACTGGAGCTGCCCTGCACTCTGCACCAGCCACACCTGGGAACCGCATGTTCCAGCCACAACTACATGTGTGCACGCACACACACATGCACACACATACATGCACACATGCATACACGCACATGCACACGCGCACGCAATGCACACACATACACACATGCACGTACACACATATGTGCACACATGCACACGCACACGCATGCACACACATATGTGCACACATGCACACACACACATGCACACACATGCAAGTGTTGCGTATCTCCACCAGCTCAGGGAGCCAGGCTTACCATGGGCCCCCGAGGGCCAAGGACCGAGGGACCTGATGCCGGGGATGTGCCAAGCCAGTGGACACAGGGTGAGTCTCCTGCTCTCAGAGCCCTGAGTCTGTTCTCTAAGATGGGGTAATGATACCTCCTCTTGAGGTCCTTGTGCCCAAGTTTCCCACTCCAGCTCCCTTCTTGCCCCCAGAGCAGATTCAGTTTCAATGCCTAGGAGAACAAGGGGGCCCGGAAAGGCTTCCGATCCACCCACCCGTTCTCGGGGTGCTCCCTCCCTGGTCTATACGGCAGCAGACCCCAGACACAGCTCCGCACGTGCCCTGCACCCTCCTTCAGCAGTGGCTCCGGCATCTGTGGGCCTGGTTTGTGCCTTCTTTTATCTCAGAGTGGGGCTCACCCAGCCCCAGCACCCTGCAGCTCCACCCAGCTCACTCCTGTCTCCAGGCTGTAGTCCAAACCATTGCTGAGGCCTTCAGTTGGCTGCTGCCTCACCCACCTCCCTGGGCAGCCTGCTTCCCGCTCTCTGCCACCCATCTCCTGCAGGTACCTGCTTGTGAGATCATGCCCGTCAGCAGCTCTGTTCTCACCACGGCACCCACCCACCATGCCCTGCCCTCCCCGCTGGGTGCCGTCTTAGCTATCCGTTAAGACCAGCTTCGAGACACCACTTCCAGGAAGCCTTCCCCAGCCACACTCACTGGACTGAAGCAACTTAGCCTCCCCTGTGCTTCCTGATTCTATCTCAAGCAGGACACTTTCTACAGACCACTGGATACTGCCCTCACTGGTATAAACGTCCACCTCCCTTTACTTGACGCAGATTCCTGGATAGCACTGGGCATCTTGGGGTCAGCGCTAAATCCACTAAGACCCCGTTTTTCAGGAAAAGAGCTGAGTGGAAAGAGTGGCCAAGAGGAAACCTTCCCCTTGTGTCGCGTGTCCCACGGCTGCGTGTTTCACAAGACGGTCGCTCAGCATCTGCATGTTCACACCTCATGTACGTGTGTATTTTCTCTTCATGGATATCAGAGCTAGCTCTCGGAGAGATAAGGCACTGCCCAGAAGCCTGGACACGTATGAAAGAATGGGAAGGAACGTGCACACACATGTACACACACATACACATACACCTCACACACACACGTGCACCCACATCACACACAAGAAACTTCCCCAGGACACAGAAATATGACCTCATAGGGACAAGAAGCCCTTTGCACATGAATGTCCTTAAAAAAAACTGATTATGAGATAGTATTCCAGAAAAAGAAACTCTGACATCATTACCTTCACAGGGTCTCCCAGAATATTCCACAGGGAAATTGGGGGCTCCTCTCTCACAGCTACAAGTGAAAGACCCGAGGGTGTTTCGACAGGATGTCCCGGGCACACAGTCGTCCTCCTTCCTCTCACACTCATCGTAATCTGCCAATATTTAGAAGACAAAACAGAAGAACGTCCCCGGGGGCTTGCAGGCTCACAGAAGCCTCAGGGGAGAGTGCATCTCCCAGACAAAGCTGGAAACTCCAGCCAGAGCAGACTGCAGTGAAGCTGGCCAGTTCTGGAGAGTACAGGAGGCTTCCTGCCAGTGGGGCTGGGAATGGCTAGGGAGGTCTGCAGGGGCTGTTCTGGAAAGAGGATTCTGGCCCAGAGCTGGGAGGGAGATCTGGGCAGAGGAGGGCCAACCCTTCAGTTCCCAGGAGTGACCAGGAGATGCACAGGCCCTCAGACCAGGCCGCAAGCCCAACCCTGGGCAGAAGGCCCTCAGGCCATTTGCCTTTCACCATGATGCTCGGTTGATTATTGACAGCAAAACAGGTTTACTGCAGAACATGGACAAGTACCAGAAAAGCATGACCGGGGCATGTTGGCATGTGGACATATTTCCTTACGGCCTTTCAAAATACAGGCATGCTCTGAGAGCACAGCTTGCCTCTGCCACCACCTAGTTCCATGCAAATCCACAAACCTCGATTCTCATCATTGCACAACAGCCCAGGGCAGGGACACCTGGTAACTTAGCACCTTCTCTGTAACTGGATGATTGGGACTTCCAACTGTTTTGCTTTTAAAATAACACTGAAGATGAACATCTTTGTATGTAAACTATGGTCCAAACTGAGATCAAATTGGGATATTTCAGAATCTGATATTTCAGAATCAAGGTGGATGGCCACTTTGAAAGCGCTTGATTTATGTCACCAAACTGGTTTCCAGGAAGCGTGAGCAAATCCTTCTGCCACCAGCAATCTGTGCAAACACCTGCCTCACTACACTTTCACCAGTATTCATGTCAGCAGTAAAAAGACCTTTTTTTGCAATTTCATGGGCAAAAAGTGCAACGCGTTTTAATGGGGATGTCTTGGGTTACCATATCTTTGTTAGTCATTCATATTTCTTCTTTTATACCTTGTCTGTGTAGATCTTTTGTGCATTTATCCATCAGGTTCTTAATATTTATCATCTATTTGTATGATCTCTCTATATATTTGGGATACTAACACTTCATCAAATTATTGAATTTTTTTTGTTTACTTTGCTTTAAAATGGTGCCTTTATTTTGATTTATCTCTGCATGTAGTCAGTATCTCATCCTTTTCCTCTGAAAATCGTATTTTCTTTGAGAAGTCCTTCTTATTCTAAAAATCAAAAAATTAACATTAATCTTCAATTTTTAAAAGGTCTTTGGTTTCTGATACATGTAACTATAAGCCATTCATCATCTATTTTCAAGTATGATAGGAGAAAAGAATCTAAATTTTCTTTTTCTCCCTGCTTTTCTCGTTAATTATTTTTACTGGGATCTCCTTGGGAACTGTGCTTGGGAGAGGGTCTGGTTGCAGAGAGGGATGCATCTGCCCTCAGCCCATGGAAACAAGCAGCAGGGGAGCAGTAGATCCCAAAAGAAAGCAGCACCCCTGGGCATCTGCAGGTTTACCCGAAGATGTTTTCAACACTTCAACTTTTACAAAATTATAATCACAATAAGAGGGACAGAGAGGGTCCTGTCTATTTCACATCTTCATCTAATTCCGGGGGAAGAAGGACTACATGGGCACAACACAACATCTTTCAAAAGCGAAGGGTAGTGGCTGCGCTCTGGCTGCCTCTGGTTCCGGAACATGGGAGAAGCTCAGTCCCATCCTCTCATACCCTGTATGAAGGTGTCGCCTCTGATCACCTCCAGCAGAGGCGCGGTCTGGAAGGCGGTGAGGAATGCAGCTGACACCTCCTGGACATCCACATCTGCGATTATCAGCAAGTGAAACTCCACCACGACGCTGCCACTGGTGACGCCGACGACTTCCATCCTGACCCCGCCGGCGTCCGTGTGCTGACGCAGCGTGGCTGGCAGGGAGCCCCGCACCTGTGAGGAAAGAGGTCATGTGAGGAGGTCCCCCCGCTGAGAGGAAACAGATGCCCATCTCAAGGCGGTTCCTCCTGCCAGTCTGCCCAGCAGCAGGGCTGGCCCATAGCACAAAGGTAAAAGCCACGGGTTGGTTCTGGGCCCCTTTCCTGTCTGCCATGTTTTCAAGCCCAGCACAAATGCCCGGGAGTGTCTGTGATATGAGAACAGCCCTTGTTTCCCCCCAAACCAGCAAACAGCTTCAGAAAAATGCCTGTGGGGTAAGTATAGGACTTGGGACACAGGCAGAGACCCTACCTCGTGGGGCTTACAATTTGCTGGGGGCTCACAAGGGCTTCTAGAACCTAATACTCCTGGTTTGCAGCCACCGAGGGCAGGAGGCTGAGTGCGGGGTCGTGGGGAGGGACACCACTCCCACTGCCTTCTCTGGAACAGCCCTTTTGCTGCTGACACTGCAGAACATGTCCCCTTTCATTCTCCCTCCCTGCCTGTCCCCAGACTCTTCCTGTGAGCATTTCCAACATCCCTATTAGGACAGGGGGTTCCTGCCCCCAAATGCCCCACTTTCTACTCTGTCTCTTTGGACAGAGTCACACATCACACACTATATGATTCCACACTAACCCATCTTGGTCAAAACACCTGAGGCAGGAGAATGGCGGGAACCCGGGAGGCGGAGTTTGCAGTGAGCAGAGATCGCTCCACTGCACTCCAGCCTGGGCGACAGAGTGAGACTCCGTCTCAAAACAAAACAAAACAAAACAAAAAACACCCAGACAGGCAAACAATCTGATAATGAGCTTCGATCATCCTCAATGCAAACCTCCTATGGAAAGGGCACCTCCAGGGTTTGTCCTCACAGGGGCGGTGGCTCAGGGCCCAGGTCATGGACTCACTCCCCAGCTTCTGGGCCGCCAAGGTGAACAGATCCATTGTCCCTCTGAGTCTGTGGACCCCAGGGAGAGTGCAGCTGCCCTGGGTTGGCTCAGTAGATGACTGTTGTCGTGACCATCTTCACAATCAGATATTCCCTCTCTCTTTCTCTCAGAGGAATCTGTCATATTCTTGGATTAATGTGACCTTTAGCTGCATTTCAAACCAACCTCTAAGCAAAGTTCCAGGCCCCTTGCTAGGAAGTGGTGAAGAACCAGGGACCGAGGCACGCAGCTGACACCTCCTGGACATCCACGTCTGCGGTTATCAGCAGGTGAAACCCCCGAAATTTCTCTTAACATCCTACTTCTGTGATTAAGTTGTGTAATTATTTGCTGTCCTGAAATTCTAGGCAAACAGAAAAACAACATCCCCAAAAATGGGCAAAGGAAGAAATGGTTCAAAGAGGAAAGATTAATCAAGAAACTTGGGAAGGAAATGGAGCTGCCTCGTTTGACAGCCAGGTGGAAGGATTTGGTGTTTGTTGTTTAATGTTGTAACTACTATTTAACCTTATCAATGAAATCACATTATTAACCAAACCATATTGTTAATCAAGCCGTCAACAACTCGAATGCACAAACCAGGAGCTGGGAATGAGCTAAGCCACCGAGGCCGGTCCCAAAGGCAGCCGAATCTTCTCATCTGTGGGTGAAGCGCTGGGGTTTGCAGCCCTGGTACGATATTAGCATGACAGGCCACTAGGTGGCGATGTCATACCTCTCTGTGCTGAGCCTTAAACTCCCAGATTCAAGACATCTACAATGTGAGATTCCACGCAAACAAAATCACTAGATTATGACAAGGGCACTCCCTCTACCTCAAAAAATCCACAAGAAGGCACGTCACTAAATGGTAACAGATAATGTCTCAGAGAATGCGGAGGGGATGGCAGGGAGGAATGCAGGAAAGAGCAGGAAAAGAACTTTCTCTGAGGCAGGGGCATCGCAGCACTATTTATAACAGACAGAGGCAGGAGCCGCCCAGTGCCCTCAGTGAATGAATGGATGAGCCTGCATGGGTTATGTCCCAGCCATAACAAGGAATGCAGTGCTGACACATGCTGCCACGTGGACGAAATCCGAAAACCTCATTTTAACTGAAAGAAGCCAGACACAGAAAGTCACATATTGTACGATTCTTTTTCTGTAAAATGTCCACAATGGGCAAATCCATAGAGATAAAAAGCAGATTAGTGATTACCAGGGGCGGGAGGAAGTGGTGAGAGAGAAGAGAATGACTTCCTTTTTTTTTTTTTTTTTTGAGATGGGGTCTTGCTCTGTTGCCTAGGCTGGAGTACAGTGGCATGATCTCAGCTCACTGCAACCTCTGCCTCCTGGTTTCAAGCGATTCTCCTGCCTCAGCTTCCTGAGTACCTGGGATTACAGGCACCCGCCACCACTCCTGGCTAATTTTTGTATTTTTAGTAGAGACAGGGTTTTGCCATGTTGGCCGGGCTGGTCTCAAACTCCTGACCTCAGGTGATCCACCCACCTCAGCCTCCCAAAGTGCTGGGATTACAGGCGTGAGCCACCATGCCCAGCTGGGAGTGGCTTCTAATGAGGTTTCTTTTTGGGTGATGAAAATGTTCTGGAATTAGTGGTGATGGTTGCACAATTTTGCAAAATAGTCTAAACCATTGAATTGTACAGTTTAAAAGTGTAGATTTTATGGTCTATGAAATAAATCTCATTTTTTATAGGTTTAAAAAAAAAAACATGGAGGGACTTTCTGCTTCATAGGTTCCACAACTGAAAAACAGATTTCACTGGACGGAAAAGCATGTGAAATAAGGATGCAGCAGAGGAAGAGCTGTGCCTCCTGTCTGCTGACCGTGTCTTTGCCAGGGCAGATCCAGAGACACTCAGGGAGCCAGGCCAGAGCTTATAGTCCTGGCTTTCTTCAGAAATGAAGAGCTCATAGGACCTACAAGTCAAATTCCTAGTTGGATGAGACTAGAATTTTTTTTTTTTTATACAGGGTCTCACTCTCTTGTCCAGGCTGGATTGCAGTGGGATGATCTCAGCTTGCTGCAACCTCTGCCTCCTGGGTTCAAGAGACTTTCCTGCCTTAGCCTCCTGAGTAGCTGAGATCACAAATATGAGCCATCATGACAGGCTAATTTTTTGTATTTTTTTGGTGGAGATGGGGTTTTGCCATGTTGCCCAGGCTGGTCTCAAACTCCTGAGCTTGGGCAATCTGCCCACCTCTGCCTCCCAAAGTGCTAGGATTATAGGCGTGAGCCACCGCGCCTAACCTAGAATTCTATCAGCCTTCCACCCTTTCTCTCCTGAAAGGAATTAAGGGCTGATATCACCAACTCACCGTCCTGAAGAACAGTTCTAGGAAATCTCGATACTCCTGGCTGCTTGCGTTGCGAAAGGATTCTGAGTATCTGACATTTGCGATTCTGACCTTTCCAATGAGCTTCCGGGCCGCTGCAGGATGGAGGATAAGCACATTTGGAATGTATTAGATAACAAAGTAACATTTCAATATTAATAAGCGTATTTTCATGTCCGTGAAGAGCATCACACCAAGGCCGCCCTGTGTTCTAGAAAGAAGGAATAGTGCCAGGGCTCGGTGACACAGTCCATCAGATGCCAGAGGACACAGGACAAGCCTGAACACAGTGGGAGAACCTTCCAGAGGATGGAGCCAGCTCGGCCCCTGCAACTGTGTCCTCAACACACACACCCTTCCTTCCTTGCTGCTGTTACCCATGCTGGGGCATTCAAACAATTTACCAGCAAGCTGGCATGACTTGAAGCATGTGGAGGCACCATTAAATAACTTTGCCAGGGCCACAGGTACAAAGTGGGCTGTCCCAGGTAGACCAGGACTTAGAGCCCTGGCCAGGCCTCTGCTCAGAGTGCACAGGGCCACAGGGTGCCCAGGGGTCTTGTTTAGAGCCAGCCCTTCTTCCTTCCCCAGCAGCCCCACCTCCCCTCGTCTATGGGCAGTCCCTGTTTTGGCATCATCTGTTCCATCTGAATCTTTTCCCTCCGTGGAGGGCTTCTAGGAGTATATGGCACATAAATGTGGTCCAGCAATGTCGCCACCCCCTCCTGGCCCTGGCATGGCAGCCACCCCAGTGTTCAGTCAGTCCCTCACCAAATATTTGTGAAGCACCTGCCATGTGCCAGAGGCATTCTAGACAGTGAAGGAGAAAGACACAGCTCTCCCCTCAGGGGGCTGAGAGTCCATCTCCCCAGAGCTTCTCACTCGGGCTTAAGACAAACCACAGAGCTATTCTGCTATGCATTCCTGGGGGAACCCCAAACTCTCCATCCTTGAGATCATTTTTGTGGCTGCCCCTGAGGGCCTCTGGTTCAGTCTCCATGGCTGGCACGGGCAACCCAGTCTGAAAGCCATCAGTAGCAGGACAGGTGCACAGGTGAGAGCAAGTATAAGCGTACCCACATGTTCGGGGTCCCCCATGCAGCCTGTCCCGTCCAGAGCAGCTGAGACCTTCAGTGGCCCAACTCTGGTTCTCAGACCCCAGGGCCACCCTGCCTGACCGTCCAGCCAGTACTGATCTCCCTCTTCTCCAGCTGCTTGTGAACTTGCACAGTTCACGTCATGCACTCCCTCTGTTCTCTAATTTCTCAGGCCATGGCTGATTAGTACTTTAAAGCACAGACATAGAAGTTCTCAACTTCTGTTACTGCATCCCAATAGGCCATCTTATGCCTCCCTCAAGGGATGTGCACCCCACCATGCAGACCACTGCTATCAATGCTGCCCACGGTGTGAAAACCATCTTACACCTCCCTCAAGGGGTGCGCACCCGACCGTGCAGACCACTGCTACTAACACTTGGGAAACTGCCACGGTGTGAAAACCAGCCTGCGACATCAGACATGCCCTTGACTATCCAGGTAAGGTACACATAAGAAAATACCCAGGTGGCGACGCAAATGAAAAGAAAAGAGGAATTTCATCCAAATAGATGTAATGTGGTCACCGCCCAGCTTGAACGCAGTGGAGTCTATGTTTGATTCATTATTGCTCAATTCTTTAGTTTGTGGCCCCAGGCTCTGGCGGGCTGCTCACAGATCATCCGTGTGACTGCCGGTTGTCGGTTGATGTCCTTCCTGAAAGCCAAGTCCTCTGAGACTGTTGAGATCAGAGGGAGTGGATGCAGCTCAACAGCTGAGTTGCTTCCCCAAGAGGACACAGGGGAGCCACACCCGCAGCCTACCAGGCACAGTCTGCAGTACTCTGCCGCCGCCTCAGAGCCGGCGGGTTGCCTAATGCCTTTTCCTGAATAAGCCGCCTCCTGCCTGGCCGTCGTTGCATGCCTGCTGAAGCCAGCCAGATGTCCCTAAGCTGAGAGGAACAATGACACCTAGCAGCCCACAAACTAATCCAGCTCTCTTAAGCCTTAACCCACGGAAAGCCTTTTTCATACTTTTTATTCCTCTCTTTAAAAACAAATGAGAGGCCGAGGCGGGCGGATCACGAGGTCAGGAGATCGAGACCATCCCGGCTAACACGGTGAAACCCCGTCTCTACTAAAAATACAAAAAAATTAGCCAGGCGTGGTGGCGGTGCCTGTAGTCCCAGCTACTCCGGAGGCTGAGGCAGGAGAATGGCGTAAACCCGGGAGGCAGAGCCTGCAGTGAGCTGAGATCACGCCACTGCACTCCAGCCTGGGTGACAGAGCGAGACTTCGTCTCAAAAAAAACCAAAAAACAAAAAACAAAACAAAACAAAAAACCAAATGGAAGCCCATTACCTGTCCTCACTTTCAGATGAGCTCTGGCACCTTCTTTCCCACATGCTTTGGCCACGATCTCAACCAGGTGCAAGACGCCAGGCTCCAGCCCCGACACCGTCACACTTGTGTTCCAGGTCTCCAGGACCACGGTGGGGCTCCATGCGGAAGTCAGAGTGAGCTGGAAGGCGGAGTCCAAAGCAAGACCTGCCTCCCACGCCAGGTGGAAGCTTGTGCTGGTCACATTGGAGACCACGATCCTCCCAATGGAGACAGGAACTGGGAAGTGGAATAGAAACACCAAAATTAAAAATCAAGCCATTTCTAGGAGAAAAGAAGCCTTGCCCAATGCCAAAAATCAAATTCATCACCGTGGGGACATGAGCGATTTGCAGGTGATGGCCGCCAAAGTGATGGTTGAGTAGGATCCTGTACAAACCTCCCAAGCGTGGGCTTCCTGGGCCTGCATCCTTGCCCCTCCTCAGGATGATAGCAAATGGCTTCTGGTTTGGTTTTGTTTCAGCAAATGGCTCATATACATCCCTGAGGCCCCTGGACCCCCCAAAATGAAGGCCTCTTGAGCAGATTCTTGGTGGCGCCTCAGAGGGACCGTCTACTCTTGACCCCTGGGTGGATTTACCCAGGATCCAACTAGGGGTTGATACTGGTGACAATGCTGGCTAGAGAACCATTCTTACAGGAGGACCTCAGGGCCCTCGGTAATACTGACTTACATGGGCTTAAGAGTTTAGTCTTAGAGCCTGCTTAGCAGAGGAAATGCATTGAGGAAGATCACATGTAACAGTTCATTAGCATGAAATCCAGAGGCAGACTAGCTCTGCAAGCTCACAGGGCTGTCATGGCCGAGACCCAATTCCTGCACAGAGCTGCTGTGACTCTCCTGAGATGTCACCTGGGGGCTTGGTGATGGCTCAATCTTCCACAGGTAACATGGAACTGCTGGGGTTACGGTATGACTAGAGGTGCAGAACAGCTGAGGGGTGCAGAAACCCTGGATGTGTAGAGCAGATGGGGGTACAGAACACTTAGGTGGTAAAAAAAACAACTGGGGGTGTAGAACAGCTGACAATGCAGAGCATCTGTGGAGGTTCAACATCTGGGGTGAAGAGCAGCTGGGGAAGTATAGAACTGTGGGTGTAGAACAGCTGAGGGAGCACAAAGCAGCTGGGAAAGTGCAGAACACCTATGGAGGTGCAGAACAGCTGGGGAGACACAGAACAGCTGGGGAGACACAGAACAGCTGGGGAGACACAGAACAGCTGGGGAGATGTAGAGTCTCTGGGGCGTATACAACAACGGGGCAGATGTAGAACAGCAGGGAACATACAGAACAGCTGAGGAGATGCAGAATCTCTGAGACATATAGAACAGCAGGGAACATACAGAACAGCTGAGGAGATGCAGAATCTCTGAGACATATAGAACAGCTGGGCAGATACAGAGCAGCTGGGGAGATGCAGAATCTCTGAGACATATAGAACAGCTGGGCAGATACAGAGCAGCTGGGGAGATGCAGAATCTCTGAGACATATAGAACAGCTGGGCAGATACAGAACAGCTGGGGAGATGCAGAATCTCTGAGACATATAGAACAGCTGGGCAGATACAGAGCAGCTGGGGAGATGCAGAATCTCTGAGACATATAGAACAGCTGGGCAGATACAGAGCAGCTGGGGAGATGCAGAATCTCTGAGACATATAGAACAGCTGGGCAGATACAGAGCAGCTGGGGAGATGCAGAATCTCTGAGACATATAGAACAGCTGGGCAGATACAGAGCAGCTGGGGAGATGCAGAATCTCTGAGACATATAGAACAGCTGGGCAGATACAGAGCAGCTGGGGAGATGCAGAATCTCTGAGACATATAGAACAGCTGGGCAGATACAGAGCAGCTGGGGAGATGCAGAATCTCTGAGACATATAGAACAGCTGGGCAGATACAGAGCAGCTGGGGAGATGCAGAATCTCTGAGACATATAGAACAGCTGGGCAGATACAGAACAGCTGGGGAGATGCAGAATCTCTGAGACATATAGAACAGCTGGGCAGATACAGAGCAGCTGGGGAGATGCAGAATCTCTGAGACATATAGAACAGCTGGGCAGATACAGAACAGCTGGGGAGATGCAGAATCTCTGAGACATATAGAACAGCTGGGAACATACAGAACAGCTGGGGAAACAGAACCACTGAGGAAGTGCAGAACAGCTGGGAGAGCTGGGGGTGCACAAAAGCTGGGGTGCAGCCCACTTTGGTGTGCAGAGCAGCTGCAGGGCTGCAGAATGCTTGGCAGGATGACGGAACAACGGAGGGGTGCAGAACAGCTATGGGAGGGCAGCATTACTGGGGGGTGCAGAGTTGTTGTGGGGCTGTCATCACACTGATTGGGGCTGGGGCAGGCGGGGGCACAGCTCTGCTAGGAGGCAGGACAGCAGGGGTGGTCAAAGCCTCAGGGGATGGCTCCAGTACCTAATGCGACAAGTAAGCCGCAGTGCCTGCTCCTGAAGGCAGACCTCTGCCCCAGCGGCTGCAGACAGGGAGCCCTAAGACGTGGGGAAGAGAGGGCTGGGACAGGCAAGGGGACCAAGCTGTCTCCCTAACTCAACCAGAAACCAGCTGCTGGGCGCCTCCGTTTCCTCACGCACAAGATGAGGCTGCTGCCTGAGCATTGCTAGCAGCCTGCGACTCCATGGCCGCGGGAGCTTTCAGAGGCTCACACAGGCTATGGGTCCTATTAGTCCTAGTCCCCATGCACCATTCGAGGAACTCACCACAGGCGGGGGTCTTCAGAGGTGTGAGGGTGGGGGTCGATGGCAGGTCGACAGAACTGGAGGGTCCACTGTCCTCATTTTGCAGCCACGTGGGATTCAGAAGTGTTTCCCAGGTGGAACGGGTGGCATGCCACACGACGTGGCCGGTGGGGTCCTCAGTAGGGGAAAGCCAGGAGGGTGGCTCCATGGTGGAGTTTCCCAGTAGCTGTCCAGGGAGGGCCAGTGGGCCATCTGTGGCCCCAGGAGAGAAGCTGTGGGTTGACCCAGGAGCCTTCGGGGAGGAGGTGGTGCCTATCACCCCAATAGTGTTCCTATGACCGGGGCTCACCTGGCTGGGGCTCCCCTGGCTGGTGCTCGCCTGCCTGGTGCTCGCCTGGCTGGTGCTCCCCTGGCTGGGGTTCACCTCGCTGGGGCTCCCCTGGCTGGTGCTCCCCTGGCTGGGGTTCACCTCGCTGGGGCTCCCTTGGCTGGTGCTCGCCTGCCTGGTGCTCGCCTGGCTGGTGCTCCCCTGGCTGGGGCTCCCCTGGCTGGGGTTCACCTCGCTAGGGCTCCCCTGGCTGGTGCTCCCCTGGCTGGGGCTCCCCTGGCTGGGGTTCACCTCGCTGGGGCTCCCCTGGCTGGTGCTCCCCTGGCTGGGGCTCGCCTGTCTGAGGCTCCCCTGGCTGGGCTTCACCTCGCTGGGACTCCCCTGGTCCATCCCCAGACCCAGGGCAGTGCTGGGCGCCTCCTGCTCTTCGCCTTTTCCTGTGCTGTTCCTGTCATACCCGACCACACTGCTGCCTCCTCTCCTGGGCGGGGGCCCTGGGGCCCAGTCCTGGCCTGCTGCCAGGGTGCCCTGAGGGTGCCCAGGGCTGGGTGACAAGGTGAAGTTCTCTAGGCCGAGGGCTGCTGTTCCCGTGCCAAGAGCTGGGGCCGTTACCCCTGTCGCCGCAGACAGCCCATTGTCCGTGGGGCTCACCAGGTCACCTGCCAAGAAACATCCACTGTCAGAGCCTGCTGGATCCCACCCATGACTAAGAGCCTCCCAGGAGGGCAGCACAACTGTCCAGCAGGACTGCTGTGCATCCCCGCATGGACCTGGCCAGGGCCGCAGGCGGCTTCAGCCAGCGTTCGGGAGAGTTTAATGGGCTCATGTTTGCAGGCTCCCCGGGGAATCTCCGAAGGCAAGTCACGCCTCTCTACTGGATAAATGAGGAGACTGAAGCTGAGGGTGAGGGATCCACCCGGGGGGCTACAAAACCCGGACTTGAAAATGCAGGGCTTGGTTCTCACAGGCCTCAGATTAATCCATCAGGACTCTGGGAAAATGGGACAGTTTCCCCCAGGTTTGTGCTCAGTGTGGGACTTGGTGCTGGATGCTGTCATCGACTTGCAGGATGTTAGGCAAATAAGAAAAACAGGAGAAGACAAGGTGTGGGTGTTAGGAAGCAGAGCAGCACTTGCAGTGTCTAAGAAACATTCTCCCCAGAGAACAGGTCTCGGCTGCTCCTCCCAGCTAGAAAGGCCTCAGTGGGGGCTGGCAGCCGGTGGCTGGGCGCCTCTGCCATGCCTGCATCCGGGCCGACATGGCTCACCAGTCACTGCCTTTTAGGCCCTCACATGGCCTCCTCCTGCTGCTCAGCTCAGCACCCCAGGTATCCCCAACCCTCTCATCAGAACTGGCCCACAGAAAAGACTGGGGGCTGATACGGCAGGACTAGAGGTCAGCGGCCCCCCATCGAGCCCCTCTCCAGCTTCTCTGGGCTTCCACCCCTTCTTGGGCTCCAGGCCACCTAGGGAGGAATCCCTTGCCCCGGGCTGCATCCTGACTTCTGTGGGCCCAAGGAACTTGGCCTTCATGGACCCCTGCACCCCTCCACTTAAAAATTTATCAAAAATTACATTTTATAATGACATCTGGATAGCAATGAGTGTAATCCAGGCTAGATTCATTGTTTTATGTATATTTACTATCCTTCTATTAATTTCTTTCTTCTGATTTTAAAAGAAATGGAAATGAAAACATTTCTGTAGGTCCCTAACATTACCATAGGTCCTCAGCGCTGTGCCGATGGAGAATTGGACCTTGCCCCACCCCCAGATTCTCGGGCAGGAGGCCTTCTCAGAGTTGGCAGGGGGGTCGACACGTACCCTCACAGGCCCGGCCTGCGCGGGAAGGGGTGGCGTCCCTGGTGGTGCGGCACTGGCAGGTGTAGGAGCCCTCCAGGTTGATGCACCAGGCAGCCGGCGAGCAATCGTGCTCTGTGCTGTCCACACACTCGTCCCAGTCTGCCAGGGGTAGACACAAGACAAAACCCATGAGAAAATAGCCAGAGAGTGATCAGAAGACAGACCCATGCTGGAAGGAGTCCTTCCTAGCCATCTTTGCAGTGAACGGCCGGGAGCAGGGGCACTTTTGGGGCAGAAGTGGGGCATTCGTCCAACACTCTCATGACAAGCTTATGGCCTGCCCGTGCCCACCTTCACATCGGTTGGCTTACTTGGGGGCAAAGATTAGGAAATGTTGGTTTCTTTGGATGATATTAGCACCCACAGGTGCGCATCTAACCCTCTCTTCTTTATTCTCTGTTTCCACACCCCAAAAGTTGAAATGCTTTCTCCTCTCTCTTTGTTGTGCCAACATTCTCCAATACTTAGTGTCTCAACCAAGAAACGGAAAAGTAATTGAGCCGGGGGTGGGGGTCCAGCTGAGTATAACATGACCTTCCCACGCCGGGGGTGGGGTCCGCCTGAGTATAACATGAACTTCCCACGCCGGGGTGGGGTCCAGCTGAGTATAACATGACCTTCCCACGCCGGGGGTGGGGTCCGCCTGAGTATAACATGAACTTCCCACGCTGGGGGTGGGGGTCCAGCTGAGTACAACATGAACTTCCCACGCCGGGGGTGGGGGTCCAACTGAGTATAACATGAACTTCCCACGCCGGGGGTGGGGGTTAGCCTGAGTATAACATGAACTTCCCACGCCGGGGGTGGGGGTCCAGCTGAGTATAACATGAACTTCCCACGCTGGGGTGGGGTCCAGCTGAGTATAATATGAACTTCCCACGCCGGGGGTGGGGGTTCGCCTGAGTATAACATGAACTTCCCACACCGGGGGTGGGGGCCCAGATGAGTAAACATGAACTTCCCACGCCGGGGTGGGGTCCAGCTGAGTATAACATGAATTTCCCACACTGGGGGTGGGGTCCAGCTGAGTATAACATGAACTTCCCATGCCCGGGGTGGGGTCCAGCTGAGTATAACATGAACTTCCCACGCCATTCTAGAGCACCCACGTGTCTCCACAGGTGTGCTCCTCCTCCTGTGCCCCAAAGACATGTGATGTCATGTCACTGGGGGGCCCGCCTTGGGGAGAAATGGGGAGGACAAAGACAATGTAGTTCCCAGGGGGGTGGCTGAGCTCATCAGGGGCCAGGCCCCGCTGGGTGGTGACAGTGCCTTCTGTGCTTCTGCAGAGCTGCTGGTGGAGGTACTCAGGAACGAACTCACGCCCAGCATGCCACAGAAGTTCCAATTCAGTTGGAATTTAAGCCACGATGTGGGATCAGTTCAGTTCTGTGCAAAGAAAACCCTGCCGCTGAGTGCTCAGAGTCTCATTTCGTGGCTTTTTTTCTGTTGTGCTTCCTGCGGTCTCCACAGAAGCAGCTTCCCTGGAGAACAGCAAGCTCGTCAGCTGCCACAACAGCTATGCCACCACCCTGGCATGGCCTGGGGGCTGCCTTGCCATCAGAACACTGCTGGTGCTAACCCACACCTCTTCCTGGGGTGCTACTCAACCTCCAGCTGACCAGTAACTCTCCTAGGGGTGCTCCGGGTTGGGTTTGGAGCCTAGGCTGGCTGGGTTGCAGTCCATGAAGGACAGCAGAGGCACCAAGCAAGCCGCTGGCTCAAACCACCAAGCACCTCGTGTCTATTTTGGTGTGTGGTGATTCACCTAGTCTTCACTCCTCCGTCCCCCCAGACAGCTCCCAAGCGAGCTCAGAGGAAGGCGCTGACAGCTGTATTTAGTCTTGCATTACGCCTTGAGGCTTGCCGGCCCTCCAGTTCAGAGGAAGAGGCAGGTGTGGGAGCAGAAAGAGCTGCCAGCAAGCCTTTGCACCCTCCCGGGCTGGCCAGGCAAGGGCGCAGAGCAGGCAGGAGCCCAGGGCAGGACGCTGCACACTGCTCCCATTGGCCCCGCAGCCAGGTGTGGTGGCGGGCGCCTATAATCCCAGCTACTGGAGAGGCTGAGGCAGGAGAATCACTTGAACCTAGGAGGCAGAGGTTGCAGTGAGCCGAGATCGTGCCGTTGCACTCCAGCCTGGGCAACAAGAGCAAAACTCTGTCCCAACAAAAAAAAAAAAAAAAGAAAAGAAAGAGACCCACATGTGGGCAGTTGTCTAGCTGCCCGGAAGTGCTGGGGGGCCCTGACCACAGACACAGTGAACTTCTGTCCCTTTTCCCCGAGAGGACCTTCCAGCCCCATTTCACTCAGGGTCAGGGTCTGGGCTGACCGAGGAGACACAGGTGGGCTGGTTGTTCAGGGCTACTGCCCTGGCCCCTGGTTCCGGTGGAGGAAGATAGAATAGGATTTGCATTTCTTTACCCTTTTAAATAAAGGAAAGACTGACTCAAAGTCACCAAGAGGATTTCTGAGCTGGAGGGCACCAGGCAGCTGGGCGGGTGGCTGGGCTGTACCTTGCACACGTGTCCCCTGCCGGTCAATCTGGAACACTGTGCTTGCCAACAGGGGCCGGAGCATGGGGGCCAGCGTGGAGACACCCACGGGAACCCCAGGGTCCTGCACGGTGAGCTTGAGCCTCACGACCACGCTTCCTGCCTGGAGAGACACGATCTGCATTCTCAGTTTCCCACTTCGGTACAAGTCAGACACCGCCGGCGGGAAGGAGCTCTCGACCTAGCCAAGAAGAGGCAACAGCTACTCAGACAGCAGACGTCCATCAACGTCTTCACGACCGTTAAGCAGGGTTCCAGGTGTGACCAGTGGAAGGTTCATGGAGCCATTTCTCTCCTCTACAATCAAGAGGAGGCACCCAGCGACCGACCTCTCAGAGCAAGTAGGGAGGTCCATTCACAGCACCTTAGCTGGGCTTTCCCTGGGACGGCCAGGCCTGGCCTGGTGTGTGCTGGGGACTCACAGTGACCACTGCAATCAAGCTCCCAGTCATGGAGCATCAGATGGACAATCCCCTCCGAGTGTCCTGAAAACTGGTATGAAGGTCATTTGTGTGAGTGTGTGAGAAAGACTATTGGATTGATTGATAAATGGATTGATAGATGGAGAGGCCCCATCAAGGGACAATGCCTACGGCTCTTTGGAGCTGTCCCCCCACTTACTAGGCTGTATCCCGCAGAAAACATGCACACAGAGCCAGGTGCTTAGGGTTACCCACGCCCAAGCAAGGGAGATACCAGCCTGATTCCCCGCCTTTCTGCCAACCCATACTTGCACACACAAGTGAGTTAACATTAAAAAAGGGAGGGAGTTCTCTGAAAACAATGAAAACTGGATTCCCCCTGCAGGCGAATGTTGGGAAGCAATGCTCTGTGGGTCTCTGGCATTTCTACACATCTTGCAAGTAGAAGCACTAACTGCCCTTTTGTTCCAGAATATCTTTCCAAGGATGTTTGCATAGTGAACAGCCTTGGGAGGGAGAGATAATGGCTCCCTCCAAAGCAAAGGGCAGGTTTGTTACTGTCTGATGTAACAGATAATGTGTCCTTCTGGAGCAAGTGCTTGCGCCCATTATAAAAGATTCAGGTTCCCTAGGGTTGGGGTTCCTCAGCTCAGGTGCAGACCCACTTTATGTGCTTCATGCCCCTGGGCCCCTCTGCATCACCTCTGTGGGACTCTGGTGCAGGAAGGGGAACTGGCACAACAGCACACGCATGCTGCCTGCTGTGCTGTGAGTAATACGGTCTTCTGTCTCTGGCCCAGAAGTCTCGTGTCTTCTGCCAGCATGCATGACACTGTGGTAGACTCACTTGTTAGTTTGCAGGGAGGGTAAAACCTCAGACCTTATGTGATTCTTGGCAGCTTAGGAAGTCACTTTTCCCTCCAATGCACCATCTGTGGATAGATGTGCTTCCCACTGGCTTGCTTCTCCCTGGCTGTCTGCTGATGTCCCCCTTTAGTCACGAGGGAGGAATGGATGCTGTGATTGCTGGTAAACACTTTGCTAATGAAGCTACCCCAGAGCTGGAAGACAGAGCCCTCAGACAGAAGGTTCCACAGAAAATCCAGCAGTGGGATTAAATGGTGTAGACCATTTGAATAAAGGCACATATTTTAAAGATGGATCGGCCCCGTATCTGGATTAAGCACCCCATAAAAGCAGGGGGGAAGCTTTTGAGGAATCACTGTGCAATTTGGGTTTGGCCTCCCCTGGAGCTGCAGTAACATGTATTTTTGCCACAATCCCAGAGGAAGAGCTGGGCAGGAATTGGCTTGTGTTTGATGTCCTCACTCAGAACGCCCAAGAAAAGATTTTTATGTCTCATTGTGGCTTTACCTCGTGAAGCAGTTGTCTAGAAAAGTCCTGGAACTCCATGCTGCTGTGGTTGAGTAACCTCTCTGTCAGGTTGTGGTTTACAATCTTTATTGTGACTTCAAATACCTGGGCATCTGAGACAGACAGTGAAACAAATTAGCCTGTGGTCAAAAGTCACACACTTGTCTGTTAATGTTTTCCATGAAGCCTACTCTTTAGCGGAGAATTTTTTTTAATAGGTTGGGGCATGAATCTTGGATTGAGGTATCCTAATTGGGGGAAATAAACGTAAGAAACGAAAGAATAAACAATCACTTTTATGTCCAGGGCAGAGACATCCCAGGAAGGAGGTGCAAACGTCACACACAGCCCGTACCCACAGGAACTGGGATTCAACCAGTGCATGGAGGGTCCTTTCCCATGGGGTGGCTGCTGCTTTCCTTTGCCCTATTCATAATCACAGGGCCCAGCGGGTACTCACACAGGGCCCTTACTCAGGCCCCCAACATCAGGGTGACCGAAGGGTTCCAACCTGCCTGGGACGTTCCAGAATTTAGCCCTGAAAGTCCCATCTCTCAAGAACGTACTCAGCCAGTCAAACTGGTAGGGTTGCTCACTTACAAGGGAGGTTGCATTATTTTTGGACATAAGCAAAGATGGAAAAAAGGTTCGAGATGGGACATGGGAATATTTGTCTCTCATTATGAAAAGAAACTCAGCATGCACAACCCAAGCGTCGGCAGGCACAGGAGCAGGTCGGCTGCAATTCTGCACATTTCTCTGGTTATCTAACAGCCACCCGCAGCTGTGCCCCACCCTGGCTCTCTCCCAGCTGGCAAACTACGGGCCATCAGAGAGTGTGTCACCTATGCACGCCACACTTAAGGCTGCAGAAATGCCACTAATGTTGTATATTGTATATTTCCAGTTGGGGCCCCTGTGAATCTCCCATCTTAGCAAGAGGGAGGAGCACTCCTTGTGGCCTCCGATTCTCAGGCCCCGACATATCGTAGAGCCTCGTGGACCAGCGGCCTCCTCCAGGACCCTGGGAATTGGACTCCCTGGAGGCTCTGGGCATCAGGTGCCACTGTAACATCTGCCCTGCTGCCTCCTGGTGTCACAGGCTCATGACAAGGTGGAATTAGACAAGGCCTTTAAAGCAAATTGGGCTCCTTCAAAAAGGGCTCTACAAAAGAAGGGCATTTTTATAATCTGGAAAAGGAAAGAAAATCAAGGCTGGGAAGTGGAATAGGTTGGCAATTCAGGAGTCTTCTAGAGTCTTCCAAATTATCTGTGCCTGACATTGGAATGTAGGTATTTTTTTCCTGAGGGCACGGGGTTGGTGGGGTGGGGAGGGTGAGGGCACGGGGTTGGCGGGTGGGGAGGGTGGGGAGGGCACGGGTTGGTGGGTGGGGAGGGTGGGGTGGGCATGGGGTTAGTGGGTGGGGAGGGTGAGGGCATGGGGTTGGTGGGTGGGGAGGGTGAGGGCACGGAGTTGGTGGGTGGGGAGGGTGAGGCACGGGGTTAGTGGGTAGGGAGGGTGAGGGCATGGGGTTGGTGGGGTGGGGAGGGTGGGGTGGGCATGGGGTTAGTGGGTAGGGAGGGTGAGGGCATGGGGTTGGTGGGGTGGGGAGGGTGAGAGCATGGGGTTGGTAGGGTGGGGAGGGTGGGGTGGGCACGGGTTGGTGGGTGGGGAGGGTGGGAGGGCACGGGTTGGTGGGTGGGGAGGGTGGGGTGGGCACGGGGTTGGTGGGATGGGGAAGGTGAGGGCACGGGATTGGTGGGGAGGGTGAGGGCACGGGATTGGTGGGGAGGGTGAGGGCACAGGCTTGGTAGGGTGGGGAGGGTGAGCGCACGGGGTTGGTGGGGTGGGCAGGGAGCTGCAAGTTCCTATTGCATTTCCCATAGAGATCAATTTTGCAACTGGAGGATGGCTCTATAATGGAACTGCCTCTCAGGCCTCAGTTTCCAAAGAGGGAAAAGAGTTCCTCCTCCCCTTAGTCCCGGCGTACTTTGGAAATGAAATGAGAAGATGAGGTGGAGTCAGCTTGGAATGGGAAGCTGCGTGCACAGTGGAGGGCTTGTGTCGAGCACGGCCGGGGTGCTTCGGGGCTCTCTGGATGCCCATGCTGGCTGCTATGAGGACTTAGCTTGAGGTTCACCCCAAATCAGTTTGAAAAGGATGTAGGGCTGAGCCACATTCTGCCACTCATTCTCCGCCACCACTCACTGTCACTAGCATTAGCCTCTGTGAGTGAGAAAGGCCCCAGTATGGTCTTTACGCAGCGATTTCTATGCTCTGCGCTCTCTGCTGAGACGTGAAGCCCAAAGCCCACAGCCCAGGGCTCCCACCAGCTCTACATCAGGGACACACACGTCGAGAACCCAGGACCAGAATGGAGTCCCAGCAACCCCACATTCACATCCCACAGCCACGGAGGCCAGCCTTGGGGAGAACTTCCACCAGCCAGGCCTCACCTGACCAAGTCTAGGCACCACTGGGCACCAGGCAAGTGGGGAGCAAGTCACGGGCAGAGCCAAGTGGGCCACATGGGACAGACCCAGATGGGCCACACCGGCTCCTTCCCGACAAAGTGCCGAGTTCATGTGTGCATCATGTGTTTTGGGGACAAAAGTTTCCTCTTGGGATCACTCGAGCCCAGGAATTTGACACCAGCCTGAGCAACATGGCAAGATTCCATCCTTACGAAAAATAAAAAAATTTAGCAGGGTGTGGTGCTATGTGCCCGTGGTCCCAGCTACTAGGGAGGCTGAGGTGGCAGGATCACATGAGTCCAGGGAGTCAAGACTGCAGCGAGCTGTGGTCGCACCACTGCACTCCAGCCTGGGTGACATAGTGAGTCCCTGTCTCGAAAAGCAAAAACATTTCGTCCCAGCACAAATGTGGTGGGCAAGGCATTCACTTTACATGCATCAGTAGGGAAGCAAGGCATGAAAACGTCAGCGATTCTCCCCTGTCAGGGAGGGAACTTAGACGGCCTCAGTGCTGTGGGGTAAGCAGGCAGGGTCCTGATCTGCCTGCCAGGAGCTGCCGCCTTCTGCTTTATTATTATTTTATTCCTTTGCTTCACTCTAGCTGATGCCTTATTGGTTCTTCCGATTCCACATGTTGTCCCCTCACACAGCAGAGTGAACCCCGAACAGGGTGAGATGTGGGGAAGCGAGGGAGCCGGTGAAGGCGCCAGCGGGCCGGTGCAATGCCGGGCAGGCAATGGGATAACTGGGAGGGGAGGGAGGAAGTGCGGGACGGTCAGTGACTTCTGGTGCCCTGGTTATAGGAAGAACAATGCAACGTGCTAAGGCCATGGAACTGGTTTAGAAAGACAAGTGCACAAGCTAACGTGGGTCTCTGACTGGGGGCCTTACCAGTTTTGACAGTCAGCGTGGTGGAGACGTCGGCCCCACACCCCTGGTAGCTGGTCTTCACCCTGTACAGCACTCCAGCCTCCAGCCCAGCCACCGCCAGTGCCTGGCCCTGTGTCTTGACGCTCCTGAGCAACTCCGTACCCCGGTAAACCCAGACATGGAAAGTGTGGTTCTGCGTAGAATTTAAACGCCAGGATACTTGAAAACTGCTACTGGTGACGTTGAGGACCACGTAGTCACTGAGTGGAGGACAATCTACGAAAGCACAGGAAGAGAAGACGAGCAAAGGGTCGGCGAGGGCGGCTTTATCTTCTGAAGCAGGTAACACAGCCTCGTCTCAACTTGGTTTTCACTGATTTATTGATCAAGTTGACCCATGCAGGACAGCACTCGCTGTTTTCTGTTTTTTGTTTTGAGGCAGAGTCTTACTCTGTCGCCCAGGCTGGAGTGCAGTGGTGCGATCTCGGCTCACTGCAATCTCCACCTCCCCGGTTCAAACAATTCTGTCTCAGCCTCCCAAGTAGCTGAGATTACAGGTGCTCACCCCCATGCCCTACTAATTTTTTTGTATTTTTAGTAGAGATGGGGTTTCACCATGTTAGCCAGGATGATCCTGATCTCCTGACCTCGTGATCCATCTGCCTCAGCCTCCCAACGTGCTGGGATTACAGGTGTGAGCCACCACGCCTGGCCCATTTGCTGTTTTTTTGTTTGTTTTTATTTTTTTTCCAATTATAAATGAAACCCATTCATTCAAAACAGAATATCAATCTTCTCTCTCTCCAGGCTTCTGAGTAATTTTGGAAGGTAGCTCAGGATTGCATTCAGTGATGGGGATAGTTGAGATGAAATGGAGAAGCAAGAGGTCTGAGGTTGAAATCTCAGCCTCTCTATCACTGAGCCAAGTTAGTGTGTAGGAGTCATCCAAGTGTACCTCTGTCTACACAATGAATAGCATTGAGTCGTGGGGCTCCTTGGGATCCAGAATCGGTGGTTACTAGAAAGTCAGGACACTCTCTCTGGGGACCCGTTGGCAGTCATTGTACAGAAAACATTTGTAGCAGTGGCCACGACAGTGTAAGGTTTCTGTGCCACATCTACAAATGCTGCCTTGCTAGCTTCTCCCAGGGCCCTGGGCTGCTCTGATTCATGACAAGCACTTGGTCATTTGCACGAGAACGTCTGCACTGGGCTGACTCATCACGCCGTAAACGATGGCCTCGTCAGGAAGCAGGACTCAGAAACCAGGCTGAGCTTCCTTTATTGCCTTTTTTATGCTTTCCTATTGAAATCCATGCCTCAGGGAGCAAAGCTCTGATGTACCAACCTACATATATGCCAGTGCTCAAATAGCATTGAAGCTCTTTTTTGGTTAAAAAAAATTCTGGCTGTACAGCAAGTATCTGGGCAGCAAGAATTATATAAAAAGTAGATGGCCCCCAGTCTAGTCACCAAAATTTTCACATGAGAGTTTAAATTCTATAAAAACAAGCAATGAAGAATTTTAAAAAATATATTTTGCAAAACCATGGTAAAGAAAATAATAATTTTATAATGTGTGGCTTCCCAAAGCCTTTTATGTAAGGATTGGTAGGATATACACTTTCTAGTATCATGAAAAAAATTCTGTTTTTAGACACATGTGCCCGCTTTCTCTCAATAACAAATTGAAAAAAAAACCAACACTATCCAGCTCATTTCCCTTTTCGCCTTGGCTGCCAAGAGGCTCAGAATCCAATTTAGTGCCCAGTCACCACCACGCGACATAGCCCTGCTGTCTCTTCCTTCCAATCCGAGACTGAGCTGCCTCTTTTGAATCTTGGGCCCTGTGTAGGTGAGCTCCCCCACTGAAAACCCTGCCGCTCCACCTCCCAGTAGATGAGCATCTGTTACGGGAATCTGCACAGACTTCACTCGGACGGGATCAGTGACATCCATCCAAATTCTGATGTGTCCTAATAACACTCCTAGGATGTGGGGTAGAATGTATTTTTTAAAAGACACATCTATACTTTTTACAGGATTATCCAGTGATTTTTGGCATATTGATCAGAGACACAGACATGGATTCATTCTTTATGATATTTTCTTTAGTGGCAAGAAAAGCAGAAATGCTTCAACAGAGGGTCGCCCAAAGCTTGGGACCTGAGATTGTGGGTGGCACCCCCATCTCCAGGGTCACCAGAACCCGGGAATCAAAAAGACCCCCCACTGCCTGGCCTTCTAACAACCACCCAGCTTTTTAAAGTCTGTTCCTTGGGAACGTATGTCTCACTGAAAAAGGAAGGAAGGGCTACAATTTCTTTTCCAAAAAGTCTGCTAAAAGCACTGACTGTTCTATTTTTGTACAGTCAGGACACAGCCCCAAGCATTTTTTTATCCATGTCAGTGGAGGATGGTGTGACAGCAAAACGCCCTGCAAACAGGAAAGTGGGGCGGCCACGAGCAAGCCCAGCGGCTTGAACAGCAGCCCCCAGTCCACACCCAGGGCTCCAACCTTGCCTCCTTGTCGCCATTCAGATATCAAACTTGACGCAGAGTGAGAGAGCACATGGGTGGGACAACAGATGGCCCACCCAGATTACGGGCCATTTAAAAGCGCATTGTATAAGGGGGGTGCTTCTCAGCAGAGCGGAGTTAAAATTAAAAGGGCACCCGTACTTATTTGAAAAGAACGCAGAGGAATGGTGTTTGGAAAGAAGTCTCAAGGGGTACAGGGCTGGCAATGCATGCTTTGTCTCTTTTAATAAATATGTTTACTCTTTAAATTAAGATGCCAGTGGGTTTTTGGATCACTGGATGGGGACCTGCAAATCTGGCATTTCAAATGCTGTGAAAGCCCTCGGAGGCATCTGCAGAAGCTGCCATCAGTGATTTCTAGGAGAGATCGTGAGCATTTGGGGAAAGAGAATCTCATCTAATCCAAAGAAATGCATTATCCCTGAGGATAACGCTCCCATCCAATATCTGTGTGGCCCTTTTCCAGTCTGTTACCTTGAAGCATTTGGAATTGTCCATATTGGACCATGTTTGTCCAACAAGGGCACCAATTTCTTACGGCTCAATTTTTTTTATTGAGCATCTACTATGCACCCAGCATCACCATAAACACTGAGGGAACAAGGATGAGTTAATGTCTACAGTGTCCAAGCTGCGCAGTATACATTATAGCAGCAGTAGGAACTTGCAGGGAGCTATAAATTAACTCCCTGGTGTGAGCCCCTACAGTACTCCCTCCCACGACATCCATGTCACAAACCAGCCATGCTATCGGTGACACAGTTACAGGTAATGTTTCCTGGGTGCTGTGTGCACCAGGCATGTTATCCTATTTAGTCCTTACAGCAATCCCAAGTAATAGGTTCTTCTAGGATCCCCATTTTACAGAGGACAAAACTGAGGCCTAGAAAGGTCAAGTAGGTAGTATATGGCAAAGCTGAACAATAAGAAATAGCAAAGTTCATTTGCCTTACTACTAAGCTTTCCTATCACCAGTAGTAGGCTGAATAACAACCTTCAAAGATATCAAGTCCTAATCCCTGCAACCTATGACTGTGACCTTATTTGGAAAAGGAATCTTTGCAGATGTGATTCAGTGAAGTATCTTCAGATGGAAAGATAATCCTGGATTTCCCAGGTCCACCCTAAATGCAATCACAAGTGTCCTTATAAGAGAGAATCAGGGGAGATTTGCACACAGACACAGACACACACACATGCACACACACACACAACGGAGAAGGCAGTATGAAGCTGGAATAGAGAAAGAACAAAGATGTTCACCTTGAAGATGGAGTAGGGCTAGGCGTGGTGGCTCACATCTGTAATCCCAGAACTTTGGGAGACCAAAGTGGGCATATGGCTTGAGCCCAGGAGTTTGAAACCAGCTTGGGCAATATAGCAAGACCCCCATCTTTACAAAAAAACACAAACATTAGCCATACGTGGTGATGTGTGCCTATAGTCCCAGCTACTTGGGGGGCTGAGCTAGGAGGATCAATTGAACCCTGGAGGTGGAGGCTGCAGTGAGCCGAGATTGTGCCATTGCACTTCAGCCTGAGTGACAGAGCAAGACCCTGTCAAAAAACAAAAAAACAAAACAAAACAAAACAAAAACAGAAGTAGGAGGGATGCAGCCACAAGCCAAGAAATGCCGGTAGCCACCAGAGGGCAGAGAGGCAAGCCTCTGGGGAGCACAGCCCTCCTGGCATCCTGATTTGGGCCCAGTGCTAACTATTTCAAATTTCTGGTCTTCAGAACTGTGAGAGGATACATTTTCTCTTGTTTGAAGCCACCCAGTTCATGGGTCTTTGTTAAGGAAACCCAGGAAACTTACATATCTCCCAATCCTTCTTTTTTTTTTTTTTTTTTTGAGTCGGAGTCTCGCTCTGTCGCCCAGGCTGGAGTGCAGTGGCGGATCTCAGCTCACTGCAAGCTCCGCCTCCTGGGTCTACGCCATTCTCCTGCCTCAGCCTCCCGAGTAGCTGGGACTACAGGCGCCCGCCACCTCTCCCGGCTAGTTTTTTGTATTTTTTTTGGTAGAGACAGGGTTTCACCGTGTTAGCCAGGCTGGTCTCGATCTCCTGACCTCGTGATCCGCCCATCTCGGCCTCCCAAAGTGCTGGGATTACAGGCTTGAGCCACCGCGCCCGGCCTCTCCCAATCCTTCTTTAGCGAAATTTCACTGCAGCTGTTCCCGTGGCTGGACAGCACAGCTTGGAGAGTTTTCTTTGTGTTGTAAAACCAACCAACCAACTTCTAACATGCTAAGGCCAATCTCTCTTTTGTTGGACAGACCTTGCGGTATTTTAAAACTAGAAATCTTCCTTCTACCCCTGACTCCTCTCTTCCAGGGTAGGCCCCTATCACTTGGTTTTTGGTTTTCATTAGCCAGAACACCTTCCTTTGGTCACCCTTAAATGGGGACCCTTTTCAGTGTCCCCCTTAAATGTGGCCTAGAAAATGATGCTCTTGACTCTGTGTTTGCATGACCCAAGGCCACGGCAATGTGGTTAATCTAAACTTCAGGCCCCAGAGCCCTTGCTCCACAGCCCTCCCCATCCACAGCTAGGAACACAAGTTCAGAACTTTGCTGCTATCTGGGTAAAGCACCCTGGGTTCTCCACGTCTGACAGTCTGGCCCTTGTTTCTTCTGGGCAGCCATGACTCATCTCTGGTTCAGCAGGGAAGGTGCCAGGGATGCTGCTTCCTTAGCAATGTGCAATTGGAATTCACTCTAAACTGCTGAACTGGAAACACTGGATTAGTGTGTCCTGCCCTATTAGAAGTGAAGCCAGGACCGCGCAGCCTCCCCTGTTTGTGTTTGGCGGTCGCTCGAGCGGCCGTGTATCCTGACGTAATCTGGCAGCTCACTGCGCCAAGCAACACGGCAGAGTGTGACTGCCAACAGACCTAACCGTAAATAGAATCTAATATTTTTCCAGATGACTGACGAGGGTAAAAATAACTATTCGGAAAATACCTGTTTTCTAACCTTCTGCGCTCACGAAAGGGACAGGATTCTCACCCTGGAAGCCACAGAGCAGGAATCTATAGACGGTTCTCTGCAGAACTTAGTGGGGTGCCGTGGGGTGTGCATGGGGTGCGAAGTTCTAAGTGGATCTCAAGGCCACGTGCTGCCGGGTACAGGAGTGTTCTCAGTGTTTTGCTGCCAGAGCTGGGCTGGAAATTTTTAACACCTGGAGATCCTTGGGATGACCACTGTGAAAGCCTCTCTTTCCGTGATTGATCCAGGAAATGTTTGTGGAGTGCCTGCTCTTTGCGGGGCACCAGGGATTCATCTGCCAGCAGGCGGAAGGCAAGGCCACTCTCCCCACACAGCCTCATTCTGAGAGGAGGGGAACATTCCTGGTGGTAGGGGGAACGTCTGACCCTGGAGCCCACCACATCCACAGCTGGCTCTGGGGACTGGTCCACTCCCTCCACCCCTCGCCCACAGGACAACGAGAAGAGCCAATCAGAACCTTAGGCTGAGCATGGGGGCTCCTGCCTGCAATTCCAACGCTTTATGAGGCCAAGGAGGGAGGATCTCTTGAGGCTGGGAGCTTAAGACCAGCCTGGGCTACTCAGTGAGACTTCGTCTCTACAAAAAATTTAAAAATGAGCCAGCTGTGGTGGTGCACGTCTGTGGTCCCAGCTACTCTGGAGGCTGAGGTTGGAGCCTGGGAGCTGGAGGCTGCAGTGACTGGTGATCACACCACTGCACTCCAGCCTGGGTGACAGAGTAAGACCCTGTCTCTACAAAAAATAAAATTAATTAAATAAATAAACCACAACCTTAGACTCCTTTTCCTAGTTGGGCTCTGGAACACCAAAGAAAATAATTCGAGTCTTCTGGAGCTCTACCGACTCTTGGTCCTAAGCACTCATGAAGGTGGGAAGGGCATGGCGGTTTCCCTGAGTGCACCAGGACAAAGGACAGCCCCAGAGGACGGGGGAGAGGCCATCACACTCTCAGGCAGGTCCCCTCCAGAGGGCTGCTAGGGAAGATGACGTCGGGATGACGAGGGTGGCAGGGAGTCACGAACAGCTGGTTCATGTGCGTCTGCAGAGAACCAGTCTTGGGATCTTATGCAAGAAAATCACCTTTGTCTCCCTCAATTTCCTCTTCTGAAAAAATAGCGTAAGAAGAGTAGTTGCCTCTTGAGGTTATTCTAAGAATCTAAACGAAGCAATACCCACAGAGTGCTGAGAGCAGAGCCCAGTGTATGTGAAGTGCCGGCAACTGCCAGCCGTGCTGTTATTGTGAACAAAGGGATGGTCCTCACTGTTGAGTCCTTTTAAGGAAAAAGAACATGCAAATTAAATGATTAACGAATTCAAATTGGGTATAAAGAGATTCTCTGTAACGCTTGTCACAATGCTACAGTTTCAGACTCCTGGAAGCAACAGAAGTACTCCCGTGAGGGGAAAGAATATTATATGATTGCTTTAGAAAGCTGTTAGTTTTCAACTACCAATAATTGTCATGGTGAAAACCAGGATTCTTCTTGGAAACTTTGTACACACTATAGGAACTGAAGAAAGCAGCTTATAAAATTACACATGCAGCAGGATTTAAATAAGGTTAAAAAAAACCAAACAAACTTGTATTCAATAAAGTCAAAACCTGGAAAGGAACAGGGAATAGAAAGAGCTGGGATCAGCGTTGCCTGAGAGACCCCCTGGGAGTCCACAGCCTCCTCCACACCAGGCTTTCCTCCCCTTAGCCTCTTCATAGTCAAGCTTCCCTGCAGGATTCTCAGTTGTTCTCTCTTCTTTCTCTCCTCCAGCTGTCTTCCTAACCTGGGCTGCTGGCTGCTTCCCTTCTGCTCTCCTGAAGCTGGCACCAGATCCCCGCAGTTCCACGGGCACTTTCCTGCCCCGCTGTTACCCACGCGTGTGCCCTCCCTGCTTGCCATCCAGCTTACTGCTTGCTTGCCTGGGGCTTACTGAGCCTTCCCTGCTGACCTGGCTGCACACGTCCGTCCAGCTGTTTTCCTGCCTTACCCCTGTCCTCTGCAGCCTCTCCTCCTGCACTGACCTGGCACTGTTGGGGTTCTCTGGCCGCAGGCCCCAGGCCTCTTCCCTTCTCTCAGCCACGCCATGGTTTAAGTGTCACCTGGAGGCGAGTGACCCTGGACTCACATATGCAGCCCAGCCCCACCTCTGCGCTCCAGCACCACGTGTCCAACTCAGTCAGCATCCTGGCACCTCCACTCACTCCATCTCAGCTGTAACTATTACTGACAATAATAACAACAGCTCGCATCTTCCCCATCCACTCCAGTGGAAACACCCTCTACTCCATTGTTCAGTCAAGATATCTGGATTCCGTCTTCTTTCCTTTGTCCTCTTCTTCACTGAATTAATCAGTAAGTTCCAGAGGTTCTACCTCTAAAATGTTGCCTGAATCCCTTTCTCCACCACCTTCTACACCCTAGACTCCTGCACGCAGTGTATCATCTTTATAGCGCCTTCCTACATTTCAGATTACACAGTTACTTCTTATTCCAAGCTGCTTGATGGCAGAGCCAATCCCGTGTGCCAGTCCTGGTTGGTACATCCCTCCCCACTCCCAACAGGGACAGACCTGGGCACATTTTTCTACGTGCTTCCCCCAACACCCAGCCCGCTCTTCTGCTCCCCAGGCTGACCCCGCGATGCTAGGGACGGTCCCAGCTTATCCCCGTGGTTCCAATGCAGACATCAGTCATGCCCTTTCATGCGCTAAAATGTCTCCATTTCCACAATCCACTAGATGGACAGAGATTAGGACCTGCTTCTGCATGCTTCCATTACCAGCACCGAGCGCAGTGAATAGCACCTACATCAACATTTCCTAAGCCAAAGAACAGAGGCAAGAGTGGCCCACTAGGAGACCAATGATGGTTGAGAGAACTAAGTGTATCCTGTGCCTGTGAGCCAGCCGTTCCCTCTCAGCAAGAAGAGTCTCTATGGTCTGAAGACCATCCAGCCTTTGAAAAATGCCTTCACCCTTTTCCCGTTTCGAAGACAAAAAGGGCAGCTCACTGCTCATTTAATTTTACATCAACACACTCTTTGGGGCTAAAGCAAATCTAACTGATTTTCAATATGAAAATAAAATATAAAAACTGTCCTTGGAGTTATTTCTAAACAGAACTAACCTCAGAATCGTCTGAATCATCAGAATCGTCTGTTTCAGAAAAACAGGTTCAGCAGATGAATCGTCGGCCAACAACTTGTCTGAGAACAATGTTAACAACACACGTAGGAATGCTGTTTTCTAGGATTTGACATTTCCAGCAATCAAGAGTCACTATATTTTGTAAATGGAAACACCACTACTAAAACCAGAATGCTATAAGGAGAATTGTGTCTTTTGTTTCCAAAGTCGACATACCAGAGTGATGTGAAAATAATAATAAAAGCAAGACATTTCATGGCAAAGTTATCTCGGGGCAAATGCTGCAGCTGCAAGCACTGCTGGTGAGTATTCCGGGGGCAAATGGGAATTAAGCCATTCCCACACCATCTGAGAGAGCCTAGCCGTTACCTTCCCACTCCAGGTTGAGCTTCCGCGGAGACGTGGCTGGAGCTTCCTGGTGACAGACGCACTGGTACGAGCCCTCCAGGTTTGCGCACAGTTCCCTTCCAGAACAGGCGTTGAGCTCCTCGTAGAAACACTCATTGACATCTACAGGGACGGACAGCAGGACCCACACTCAGCAGTTGCTGCCACCTCGCCGTCCTCATCTACCTGCACACATGGCCTTTGTGGACTCCTGCCATGGATTTGTGCCACGTCGGTTGAGGGGTGCCTTGGGCAGTGGGCCCAAGAGGGACTATGGAAGCCTCATCTTAGAGGGCCCCGAGCGGCTGCTGGCCATCTTCATCCAAGCAGTGGCCCACGTGCAGGCAGGGCTTGCGGCTAGCTCACCGGGCAGCCTCACATGAGCAAATCACTCTGGGCTGGACTGAGACTGGGTGGTCATGAAAAGACGGGGCCAAAACATCCCATCCCAAGGGTAAAGCAAATTGATGGGTATTTTCTGTGCCAACAAGGAAACCCAGAGTCACCCCTGACATTCTGAGGCTGGCCCAGGCCTCCCAGACAGAACCATCTCACAGCAACCAGCCTCTTCATAATGCTGTCGAAGCACAGACAGTGATAAGCTCATGTGTCATCCACAAAATACTAACGCCCCTCTCTTGGCCCAAATGAGTGATTATTAGTTCTTCACAAATTATAGCTTATGTTTATGCAATTGTGCCCGTCTCGTTTGCTTAGATGTAGTGAGATTCCCAATCATGGAGTTGCCTTCATTTCCTGACAGCACTCAATTCAGAACAAAATCACACTTCCCTAGACCCTCCCCAAACTACCCGATCACAACCCACATCCTGTAACAGTTTCTTTCTAACAATCTCTTACTGAGAGACCTCATGGTTTTCCATGCTATGGGTTCTCCCTTGCTGCCTCAAATAATAAACTCAACTGGTCCACCCACAGGTGTGCTCCTGCAACCTGTGGCCGAACGTCATTGACAGAGCGGATGATAGAACGAACACTTTGCTTAATGGCACTAGAGCAATGCAGTTTGGTTTTGAAGAACGTGTGTGGATCTGAAGGGAGATCACTGCAATCGCTAGAGCTTTCACATGGCTTTGAGCCCTGGCATTGTCACGTGCCTCCTCAGTGTCATACAAGAGGCTTCACCAAGGCAGCTACCCTCCCGCAAAGCCGTGGGAGCAGCAGACTAGCCTGGCTGCCTCCTGCTTGGGTACAGGAAGCCGTACAGGAGCCCGGCGGTTTGCTTGCGGACTGTCTGTGGCTGCTACCGCAGCAGGGCTGAGTCGTTGAGACAGAGACGACGTGGGCCCACAAAGCCAAAAATATTTACTATCTGGTCCCTTTTAGATCAGGTTTGCCAATTCCTGACATAGGACAACAACAACAAGGAATAGGTAATTTCTTCCAGAAACAAGGCCACGTCTATGTGCTTTGCCAGATACAAACTCAACTTTAGACAAATTCTGCTGAAGGAGCCTTTGGAGTACAAGGATGTCCTTGGCAAGGGTGGGAAAGAGGCGAGAGGGAAATTCAGGAAACCAAAGAACTGAAGAAACAAGTTCTTTGTGTGTGGCTCTGGGATTTGCCCTCCAGTGTCCACTAGGATGGAAGGAGAAGCCTGCCGAGGCGGAAGGAGTCCAGAGGGATCTGAGGAGAAATGGAGGGAAGGGGAGAGGGGCCAGAAATGGGGGGCAAAATAAGTTCTCGAGGTCTGTACTTGGGGACTTGGAGTTTACAGGGTGAGCTGAAGGCAGATCCCACACCTGTGGGATGAACACACTTGAACCGGTTATTCTTTCACTCCTGAACTTAAACCTCCTTTAAAAGACAAAGGACTGGTCTGGCTTTAGCGTCCACCTTGCATTTTGACTGTTCAGGCCCCACCCTGCAGCCTCCCCAGAGGGAGGATCGAGGGAAGCCCAACCTTGCACCTGGACGCTGATCACTTCATAGACACGCTTCGCAATGTCACCCAGCAGGGCAGAGACGTCGGCCACAGGCAGTGGCTGCAGCAGGCCCAGCAGCAGCCATGACACCATGGTGGAGGCATCCCCAGGGGCCGAGTGCAGGTGGTGGATGGTGGAGACCATTGGTTGCAGGGCACTGGTGACCTGTGAAGCCAGAATCAGAGCATCACACGGCAGAAGGACACCCTGTCAGACAGACAAGGAGATTGAGGCCCGCAGAGTTGAAGTGAACTGTCCACACACACACACCATTCTGCTCCTCAGCAAAGAACCTCTACAGTACTTATGCATCTGTCACTAGCCTAATAAAAGTCCTACAAACCAGAACTATCAATACCTTTTAGCACCAGTTGTGATAAGCTGAATTCTGTCCCCTAAAATCCATATGTTGAAGTCCTAAGCTCCAGCACCTCAGAATGTGACCTTATTTGGAAATAGGGTCACTGCAGATCTAACTAGTGAAGGTGGGTTCTAATCCAATATGGCTGGTGCCCTCATAAAAAGGGGAAATGTGGACACAGAAACAGATATGAATGGGGGGAAGACAGTGTGAAGAGACAGAGAAGACAGCTGCCTGCAGGCCAGGGAGAGAGGCCCGGAGGCCTCAGGAGGAACCAGCCCTGCCGACACCTTGATTTCGGACTCTCCAGTCCCCAGACCTGTGAGAGAGGAAGTTTCTGTTGTTTGAAGCCCCCAGTCAGTGGTCCTTGGTAACGGTGGCCCCAGGACACTAATACAGCAGCCAGCCCCAGGACCCCCGGTCTCCCACCCTTGCCAAGACTGCAGGTCTCTTGCAGCTGACGACAGAGAATTAGAACTAGAATTAGACAATCTGAGTTCACAAGCCATGGTCTCCTGTTGTGTATATCCAAACATCCAATTACTTTTTGAGGTTTAATGATCACTTTCCTCATTTCAGTGCATTATTTTTATTTCAGTTTAATATCTTGAATCTCAACCCTTGGGAAGCCGGGCAAACCGGCAGCTGCACAGCCAGACCAGCGGTCACCAAAACAAACTTTGTCAGCAAACCCCCGAGTCTCCACTGGGAACACCGAAGGAGGTTTGGGGAGAGCTGGGGTCCTCTGATACACACTTGAAGCCTCTTCCTGGGAGGAGATGCAACTCGTAATTTAGAATACAGAAATGGGAACCAGCCCCGGCCTCATTGGAACCCCTTATTCAGCAGCAGAAACAGGCCTCGGAGCCCAGCCCCTGCTGCCGCCTGACCCCTGGGCAAGGCAGGCGCTTCTACAGGGGGTAATGGGCTGGTTGGAGACACGAAACCTGCATACACAAGGAGACAGCAGGTGGCACACAGCAATAGTGAAAACACAACAACCACAACATCTCTGGCCCCACACATATCAGGAAGCTCAGGAACCATCTTGAGCTCTTTACATGTATGATTTAAACTCAATGGGCCCTGTCTCAGGCAGGGTTGTGATTATTTCTATTTATTTATTTATTATTTATTTATTTATTTACTTACTTACTTACTTAGAGACAGAGTCTTACTTGTAGCCCAGATTGGAGTGCACTGGCATGATCTCGGCTCACTGCAACCTCCACCTCCCGGGTTCAAGCAATTCTCCTGCCTCAGCCTCCCCAGTAGCTGGGATTACAGGCAGGTGCCACCACACCTGGCTAATTATTGGACTTCTAGTAGGGATAGGGTTTCGCCATGTTGGCCAGGCTGGTCTTGAACTCCTGACCTCAAGTGATCCGCCCTCCTCGGCCTCCCAAAGTGCTGGGATTACAGGCATGAGCCACCACTCCTGGCCGGTTATTTATATTTAATGGAGGCGGTATCTCAGGCACAGAGAGGTTAAGTGACTTGCCCAAGGTCACACAGCTGATGAGTGGCAACACTTGGGCCAGGCAGTGTGGCTTCAGAGCTAGCTTCTTACTGGCCAGTTGGACAGCCCCTCAACAAGCTAAGAGGAGACAGGAATCACTCCTAGCCCGGGCTGTTAAGACCGAGGCTGCAGACTACCTGTCTAGCAGCTCACTGGCCAGCAGCCCAGAACAACGGGAGGTGTGCACCATCTGATCTGGGCTTCCAGCCAGCTTAGTCTAAAGGCCAAGGAGTGCCCCAACCCTGGGTCTAACACCAAGACACCCAGGCACACGTGGGACACACAAAAGATCTGAAGCACAGAAGAGCTACACAGATGCCGAAGGAAAATGCGGGGCCCTTTGTCTGAAAAGTGTTGGCATTTCCAGAGGCAACGGCAGCACTTTAGACCAAGCTGAGCCCCTCTCAGCACAGGCCCCTGTCAGCAGCCGGCCCTAGAGTCAGACCATCCCCCAGGGAGGGCCGCCTTGGGGGCACACAGTGCCCTGTCCACGCTGGGATTCCCGAGACTGATGGTGGCCTGAGCTGGAGAAGACATCCTGGTTGGCAATCACTGCTGATGGGCCAGAAAGTGTGAGCTGTGTCATCAGCAGGGGTCAGCAAGGGTGTTTGTTTTTATCCCCAGGGGACAGTGGGTGACATCTGGAGACAGTTTTGCATGTCACCCTGGGGTGTGCTTCTGACTTGTGTGGAGAGGCCAGGGGCGCTGCTAACCATGGGACCCCAGGGTGCTCGCCAGCCCTAGGCTACAGCTCCCATCTCCGCGCTCCCAGGATGGTGCCGGCTTCCATGAAGCAGGAGCCAGAACTTGAGAACTTTGGGAGTGAGGGTGGTGAGGGAAGAGCTTAGGGCTTAGGCTGTCTTTGCCGGGACTCCAGACTCCTGCAAGCTTAGGGATCCGCGTTCTCCACCACAACAGGTGGGCCTACGAGGGTACACACATCACAACTCAGCCAACTACACGCTTCAGTTGTGTGCATGTTGTTGCATGTAAATCATACCTCTTTGAAGCTGATTTGTTTAAGAATTAGAATTTGGTTCACAGTCAGTCATTTGGGGCCACTTGTGGAACATCACCCTCCCCATCCCCAGGTCCCTTCCACGGCCCCACACCTGGGTCTGCCTGAGCAGCTGCTGAAAGGAGCGTGCAGGGAGCCCCTGTCTTTCTCACCTACCAACGAATGCAGAAGGCGCATGTGGTTCAGGAGCCTGGGGTCCACTTGCTGGAGTTCCTTGAAGTCCATTTTCACCAGTATGGTGACGTTGTACCAGGAGCCCACAGGGCCCCTCTCTGGAGCTGCACAAGGGCAAACACTGATGATTATGGACCCAGGACAGGTTGAAGTCACAAGAGCCGCTGGGGTGGGAGAGGGGGCAGGAGAGGGAACCAGAGGCCATGAGAGGCCCTGCTCTGCATTTACCTCCCTGCAAAAAGGCATCTACCACAGGAGACGGGGGGATGTCCCCACTGCCTGCCCCTTGCTCCTCTCCATCCTAATGTCCCTGAAGACCACTGATCCCTGCTCAGAGGTGAGCTGGGCCTGGGACCCACAGCAGTGGGCCTTGCCTTGAAGAGATCTGCTTAGGAGGTAAATAGAGCCTATCAGCCTCATTATACTGTCATAGTATGTTGATATAGAAAATTACTTTATACTGTGTCATTTTATTGATACTACAAATATTGGATAGTATAATAATATGTAATATGATATGTACTAAAGAATAGCATGTAATGTAATGATATAGTATTATCACATAATACTTGATATTATGTATACTATTGCTTTATTACTGCATACCATACTAATGCTATAATATATTTTAAATATATAAATATTTAAATATATATTTAAATATTTTAAATATTAAATATTAAATAATATGCATACATAATATATATAATTAATATTAATTAATTATATATAATATGTATATATACATATTAAATAATATGTATAAATATTAAATTATGTGTGTGTGTGTATATATATATAATATATGTATATAGACCATCCCATTCTCCTGGATGCAGACCCTAATCGAAAGAGAACTTTCCAGACCGGCAGGCACGCATCTGAGACGGCAGGACCTGCCTACGACGCTGTGGCGCTCCTCAGGCCCCTGTGGCACTGCAGGCCCAGCCAGCTCCGCACCTGTGACAAATCTACCTGGAGCTCCTGGCCTCTCCAGGCAAACTGGGAAATCCGGGTCTCTGCCCCACCAGACATGTCTTCCCATTTCAGGGCCCCTGAGAGCGCCATGAGCTTTTCCTCCCGGAGAGTTCAGGGGCCAGATTTTGACTAAGAAATTGTCTAAGAGCAGGCGCTGCCTGTGCACACAGTGGGGGCTCCTGGTGAAATCGGTCGCTGCTCCTAGAAACACACTCCTCCCCGCACCTTCACACAGATCAGCCTCACCGAGACCCTCCCTTGCTGCCTATCTGTGAGCACGGCCTGCAGCAGCCTACCTTGGGGTGCAGGGGCCATGCAGCAGCGCCCCCCTGACCAGGGGCAGCACTTCTCAAGTCCAGGACAGTCGGTGTCCAAGCTGCAGGGGGAGGTGGATGGTTCAGGCCCCTCTGCGGGGCAGACCCCGGGTCTTGATGTGAACTCCCTGGACTGATTCAGAGCTGGGAGAAAATGGTCCAGTTAATGATGCTGGTGATAAAAGACGAACCTGATTTGCTTCACAGGGGCCTCATGTCGGTGCTTCCTGGTACTGAAGTCTGCCTGTGGGTCTGTGGCCTGTTCAGGGCCCATCCCCATGCCTGGGCAGACACCCACCCCATTGGAGGGCCGCTGGCTTTGGCTTTCATATCCTCTGCCCATCTGTCCTGCCAGGGCAGCTTCAGTTGAGGTCCTAGGTGTCTCTGTTTCCTCCAGGCCTCAGGAGTCCAGGTCCAAGAGGCTCCACCACCCCCTAGAGGGCTGCTTGCTGTTTCCAGTCCTGATAGCTCATTCATTCATTCATTCATTCATTCAATATTTGTTGAGCACCTACTATGTGCCAGGCACAATCCCAGGTGCCCAGGGCCCAGCCTTCAGGGAACTTATATTCCAGTGGGGGAACAACAGTGCAAGGCGATCTACAGACATTCAGACAGGGTGAGAGCCTTGGGGGATGAAGCAGTGTGGGGGATGGAGGTCTGGGAAGTCCGCTCTGGAGAGGGGCTCGTGCCTGGGCTGGGCAGAGGGGAGCTCGGAGCAGCCCTGCAGACATCAGCCCTGGCGCCCACGAGGTGAGATACAGGCCTGGTGTGGGGTGTGGTGGAGGCTGGCCCAGGTGACAGTGCAGACGACTGCAGCATGGGACCCTGGGGAGATCAGGTGGGGGCATCCACAGGATGTGCTGACAGATGGGATGGAGTATAAGAGAAGAATAAGCTTCAGGAAGGCTCCCAGGCTTCGGGGCTGGCATCCCTGGGGCTCCATTCCTGAGCTGGGGAAAGCTGTGGGAAGAACGGCCTGGGGTAGGCCAGGTGTGGCAGCACAAATGTGAAGCTGGACACATTCACTGTTTGCCCACGTGGAGACGCACGGCAGAGTGGCACTGGAGGTGGCCACTGAGGCCAGCCCGCCGGCTGTTGGCTGCACAGCTCCCCAGCCCCTCACAGTGTGAGTGCAGCTCAGATGCAGCTCCAGACACAGAAACACAGCAAGCCTCTGCAGGAGGCAAAGATGAGGGGGGCCAGAGGCCAGCCCGGTGGGGTCCCCATGGGAGATACACTGGTCCTGGGGACCAGACCTCAGTCAGGGCTGCAGAGGGAGGCCACGGTGGGCTTTCCAGAAAAGGGGCTTGTAGAGCTCTCAGAAAGCACTGCAGGAGTCTGAGAATCCACCCAAAGCGAAGCTTTCATGAGTCCGGGGGCTGACGCTCAGGGCTCCGAGAAACACAAGAGGAGGGCAAGGAGAAGAAACTGAACCCCAGGGGACAGGAGACAGTGGAGCCTGTGCCCAATGCCGCAGAGCCTGCAGTGTGCCTTTGCCAAGATAGCAGAGGTGGGCCCAGGGCAGGAGACGACCCCATCTCCCAGGACGGAAGGAAGCTGAGAAGATGGGAGCTCCACAAGGCAGAGGGCAGCCATGAGGAGGACACACAGGGAGGAGGGACCCAGTTCAGGGCCCCAGAGAAGGCTTGCCCCGCTCTGTGGCCTCCAAACTCAGCCATCCTGATGGTGGGTGCCGTGCTCCCCCTGGGGTTTTACTCAGAGCTGTCCAGTTCATGCCCAGATGCATGGCAAGCTTTGTGTGTCTATGGCCCGGGGATGTTTAGAAGCACAGCCTGAGACCTCTCAGAGCCCAGAAGACTAGAGGAGGCCAGCTGGTAACTGGGTCCGAGACTCACCTCCGTGAGGGTGGGGAAAACTTGTGGGATTGGCCAAGTGGAAGGGCAGCCTCAACAGGCTGCAATCCCAGGGACCCGCCTCTTGGGTCCCCCAGGGTCTCTGCAGAGCACTCCGCAACCAAGAAAGAAGGTGGTGGCCCTGGTTTCTGTTGGGACCACATCACCAAGGACACTGCTCAGCTGGCCAGAGTAGGGGGAGCCAGAGTCGTGGAATATGCGGACAGACTGCATCCCCGCTCTTCTCACACAGCCCTGTCTGCCAGTGCCCGGCCTTGCTGTGGGCATTCCTCTCAGCCACACTCTCTTTCTTGCGTTGTCCCTGACTCAGTCTTCTTCTCCTCATCATCCAGGCAGCTCTACTAATGGCCGTGCATGAAAAATGAACGTTGGGTGCAGCTCGAGGAGGGCAATGTCAGGAGCCTGGTGGAGGCTTGCTGAGCGTCTGATGGTCTCTGCTTTGTCTCCCAGTGCAAAAAGCAAAGGCCTAAGGGTTAAGCAGATGTGTGGACTAAATGGAAGGTGGGCTCCTGGGACAGAAAAAGACATTCTGGGGAAAGCAGGGATATCCAAATAAAGTATGGAGTTTCTTGGCAATGCCCAGTGCTGGTTCCTTAGGACAAGTTGTCCCGAGAGCTGTAAGATGCTAATGTTAGGGGAAGCTGGGTTGGGGGGTACAGGACCTTTCTGCATTATCTTTGCAGAAAGATAAAGACTTCCCTGCAAATCTAAAACTATTCTAAACTAAAAGGCTATTTAAATAGAAGTAATCCCCCCAAAATTGGCTTCCAAAAATAGTTGCCTAATCACCAGAGGCGTGTTTTTGAGTGAAAGGTTTGCATCTTAACTGGGCACTGCCGGGAAGCCCCTCCATGCCTTGGAGCCGGCCAGCTGACTGAGTGCCCTGAGAAAGCTGAACAAGTCCAACTTGGTAGAAAGTCAAAAATCTCCTTCTTCCCTAACTCAATGCAAACAATAAAAGAACTGCTCAGCTCCTGGCAACACTGTTAGTCATGGTCCAGTGAAGCAACAGGGGAGCTTTCTGTTGGAGCAGTAAAACCCAAGGCTCCCAGGGCTGAGGACTGGATGAGCTGGGGAGGAGTCGCTCCTGTCTCCCTCCTCCTTCCTCAGCGCCTCTTCGCCTGGTCAGGACAGGAGGTTCTCACCAAAGGGCCCCTGGTTATCAGCCTGCGAGGACAAGAAGTTTTGGGGAGTCTCCTGGTCCCGTGGGGTCCTGGATTTGCCTAACAAGGTTGAGTTTGCCAGGAGGTTGATCCTGTGCAGAATTGGGGTGTCACTGGAGTTAGGGAGCATGGCTAAGATGCTGGGTTCCACTTCTCAGAATTCATCCTGAGCACATAATCCAACTTGTACACAGCCACGTTTGTACCGTATACTGTTCATCACAGCATTACGTATGCTAATGAGTAATTAGAAACAACTGAATGTTAAGTGGCAAGAACTTGCTCAGTGAATGCTGATGTGCATATGAGGTAATGCCATGTGGTCGTAAAAGCATGCCGTGGAGCCATGTGTATGGACATGGAAGCTGCTGTGGATACATTGCTGAGTGGTAAAATCATGCTACAAACGTCTTGGACACAGTGGCCATCCCCTTGTGAAATGTCTGCCCTGGATAAAGAACATGTGAAAGGTGGTTATTCGTGAGCAGCAGGCTTGGGATCGTTTCCTCCTCCTGTTTCCTGTGTTTCCAAATTTTCTGCATGGCTCATGTATTCATTTCTGTAATTATACTTTTAAAAACTTAAAATAATGCACCAGGTGTCATTGCGTTCCAAATGCCGGAATGAAAAAGTTGAAAAAGTCACTGAAAATCATATCACGTGTGTGTTGATGCTTCCCTTCGCTTTTTTGTGTAAGTCACGATTGAGCGGGAGGAGAAAGGAAGAACCACGTCTGGCGTTTTGCCACTGTCTGGGGGATAGGACTCCGAGGCGCAGACCCCCGGGCAGCTGAGGTGTGAGTCACCCACACTCAAGCGACCTGGAGGCCCCGCCGCAGAGGAAGGAGCATCTCCTGCCCTTCACACCTCCCAGTATTTCCAGGTGCCTCCAACATCTGCCAGGTCCAGCTTCAGGCCTGCTTCATTCCGTACAAATCAGAGTTGCAGTGCTCAACGGGTCACTTACTGAGACCATCTCACGTCCAGCTCCAAGGGGTCAACCTGCCGTGCGGCATCCCAGAAAAAGCAGCTTGGATGAAAAGAACTGTGCAAGCATGGAGAAGGTTGTGCTGCCAAAATCCGGGGTGTAAATCTGCCCACCACAGGCACCTTCACACTACCAGCGTGATGCCTCTGACCTTGGGGCTGGGAAGAGATGGAGGCCCACGGGATACAGGCCCCCGAGCAGCAGGAGCTGCAGAAGCCTCGTGGGCTATGCCCTTCACCAGGCCCCGGCACCGTCAGGGACCTTTCTGAGAAAGAACTCCGTGTCCTCAGTGCCCTGAAACGTTCCTTCTCCCACAATCGCCACAGCCACAGCATTCAAATGCCACAAACTCCTCTACACTAAAGTGCAGCTTGATAAACCCCCAAAAATCTGCCTGGGGGTCAGAGAGCCCCGGATCCATGTCCCGAGCCAGGCTTCCCAGAGCTGTGCCATGGTGGTGGGGGTGCGGGCCTCCCCTAGCCTGGATCTCCACCTGCAGAGCCAGGGATGCCTATTCCTTTGGCACCTGAGGGATTGGAGGGTCTCCTGCCCTGGCCTCTTAGAAAGAATGCACTCAGGCAATGCCTGTTCCCCTCCCTCTTCTCCTTCCTCCTTCTAGGTCTGCCCCCTCTTTGCTGTGCCAGAGTGAGCCTTCTAGAACCTGAGGGGCCATGTACTGAGGGGCTCAGCGCCCGCAGAGTGAGTCCACTTCCCCTCATGCCCCACGTCCCTCCCTGTGGCCTCGCCCTCCACTCCCTGCAGCTCCCCATGGCAGCCCACTCTCACCCACGGGACTCCCTGACTGCAAAAGCATCGCCCGGGTGAGCCCCTAATTAAAGGTGCTAACACTCTAACAGTGCGGCTGATTCCCACAAGAGGCAGTTCCTGGAGGCTGTTCTGTGGAGGAGGATGAAGGGCAGGTGGTGGGGAGGGGCCTCCCTGTCTTCTGGGAGGGAATTAACTTGTTTGTTGCAGCAGGCCAGGGTCTCTTACAGAAGGTGATGGTGGGCATGGGTGGGGCTGGTGTGGCCCTGCAGAGCAGGGGGCAGGAAGGGGCTGCTGATCGGCCTCCCCCAGAGCCTCCTCCCCTCACTAGTCCTGACAATGCCAACAGGTAGGAAGAGGTGTGGCCTCCACAGGTAAGACAGGACAGGACAGGACAGGGCATGTCCTGGCTGCAAAGCCCACATGCTCGAAACCAAGGTGCTGTGGCATCAGCACCTGTGTCCTAACGGCCCCCGCCATCCACTAGGAGTGGAGGCTGCTTGCAGGGCAGGGATAGCAGCAACTGTGGCTCAGCAGGCCCCTCTGTGTGTGTGGCCCTCGGAGAAAGGGAAAGTGGAAATGGGGTCAGGCATCAGGACAGGAAGGGTCTCCTCAGACCAGCACCTGAGCAGCATGGCCAAGGCATAGCCTTATCCTGCCGGTGGCCCTCTAGGAAAGCAATGGGAGTACAGAAGGGCCATTGCTCTGGGGTCAGCTGGCCCCGCCTGGTTTCTATTGGTGATGGAGGTATTGGTCATGGTGGTATTGTTTGAACAGTCCTGAAAGAGAAGTGTGCCTGTTAACGGCACACCCAAAACCATTGGGCCCTGTCTGTGCCTGGCCCTCTGAACGGGGCAGCAGAAATGCGTCAACTCTCCCTGTCATCTGTGAAATCGCACTGGGGGCTGAGGGAGGGCCCACTCAGGATGGCCCAGCATGCAGGTCTATGCGGACCCCAGACTCTGCAACCTCGGGCCCTTGGTTTCTGGAGGAGGCAGGCACCCTGGTTTGGGGAGTCCGCGCTCCGTTCTGCTGGTGTCTTGGTCTCAGGCCACAAGGATGGGTCCTGTAGGATCCCCCTTGGGGCACCCAGGAGCTGGTGGCTTCTGCACTCTGGAGGCCACAGCCCTTGTGTCTCAGTGACCCTGGCCAACACCAAGCTGGAGCCACACACCCCCATGTCCTTCCACAGTGGGGCTGTGAGGCAGGACCTTCTGACTATACAGAAACTCATTGCAGATCTGGTATTGACTCGATATTAGCAACCACTAAACACACACACACACACACACCTCCCCTGAAAGAGATCACCTGCGTGTCAGTAGGCTGAGCCCTGAGTCCCCGCCCCCTCCCAACGGCTCAGACCCTGGCCTGGCCTAACTACACTGGTCACCCTGGTAACTGACCCCAAGCATCCTACAGGACAGCAGCTTTCAAACTGCACTGAGAAGCGGGAGGACTTGGGGCCCTCTGAGAACAATAGAGGTTCTCAAAGTGGGGTTCCTGGGCCAGCAGCATCAGTGTCACCCAGGAACTTGTCAGGAGGGCAAATTCTTGTACTTCACCCCCACCCATGGACTCAGAAACCTGAGAGTGGAGCCAGGGACAAGCCCTGCCGATGACCCTGCTGCCTGGTCAAGGCTGGGAACCGTGCTCCTGGAAGATCTAGCAAGTTCCGGGCCAATGGGTGCCAACGGTGACTGTCCCATCAGGAGTCTCGACGGCAAGGGTGGCCCCGCCCCAGCCCGGCAGCCCTGGACTCACGCAAGACACAGTAGAGGCCGAGCTGCTCATAGCCCTCACAGCAGTCGGTCACATTCCTGGACTCGGGAACCTCCACTACCAGGTACTGGGTCCGGTAAACAGTCTTGGGGCACCGCCTCCAGGGGATCCAGCCACCGCAGGACGCATAGGTCGTGTAGGACGTCTGCACAGCCTCCACCTTCTGCACAGTGTGGGTCACACGGTAGCTGCACAGCTGGTAGCCCAACAGGGAGAGGCCTTTTTCTAAAAGAGGCAAGCAAGGAGGCGACTGAGAACACCAGGATCAGATCCATGCGAGCGGTTATCCGCAAGGCGTCCTTCTGCAACAGCAAGCGAGACCACACCTCCCGCACTCAGGCAGGCCTCTCAGAAGCTGCCCACCAGCCCTCTCCACAGGCCTTTGCCTGCTAGTGCACCAGGAAGGCTGTTGCATGAGTGAGCACAGAAGAATAAAGCATCGACATAGCCTGGCCTGCTAAGAAAGCTGCTGTGACCGAGGGGGAGGTGCCACCTGGGCCCCACGCTTCCTGAAGCACAGGGGTCTCACAGCCAATATACGAAGGAAAGAGCACAGCACTGGGATCAACGCTTAGAGATCATGTCCCTTTGTTCTGCTCCGTGTGGGCTCATTCTACAGCCGTAGAATCTCATGCACGTCTATCTCTTCGTCCCCCTGAGCCTCAAGGTTGCCACATGGGAAGTGAACGAGCAGCAGTTCCCGCTACAGTGGAAACTGAAGGATACTGCGGCCAGGACATGACAAAGACGGCTTTCTTTTCAGTGAGCTGGAAGATAAGTAAGCAGGTACTTAAAGCACGTGTGAGAAGTTTGTTGATGATAAAAGACCAGCTCAGGCCGGGCGTGGTGGCTCACGCCTATAATCCCAGCACTTTGGGAGGCTGAAGTGGGCAGGTCGCCTGAGGTCAGGAGTTCGAGACCAGCCTGGCCAACATGGTGAAATACCCATCTCTACCAAAAATATTTTTTAAAAATTAGCTGGGTGTGGGCTGGGAGCAGTGGCTCATGCCTGTAATCCCAGCACTTTGGGAGGCCAAGGTGGGCAGATCAAGAGGTCAGGAGATCGAGACCATCCTGACTAACACGGTGAAAACCCGTCTCTACTAAAAATACAAAAAATTAGCCAGGCATGGTGGCAGGCAGCTGTAGTCCCAGCTTCTCGGGAGGCTGAGGCAGAAGAATGGCGTGAACCCGGGAGGTTAAGGTTGCAGTGAGCCGAGATTGTGCCACTGCACTCCACCCTGGGTGACAGAGGGAGACTCCCTCTCAAAAAAAAAAAAAGAAAAAGTATAGCCAGGTGTGGTGGGGCGCACCTGTAATCCCAGCTAGTTGGGAGGTTGAGGCAGAAGAATTGCTTGAACCCAGGAGGCGGAGGTTGCAGTGAGCCTAGATCATGTCACTGCACTCCAGCCTGGGCGACAGAGCGAGACTCCGTCTCAAAAAAAGACCAGTTCAACTGTTCAGCCGTTACCATTGTGATCAGGAGGAGGCACAGTCACCCCCGCTGCAGGACAAGCACCAGATTTACCATATCAGGCCCTATGCATCTCTCACCAGAGCCTGGTTCCTGTACACAAGGCCCATCACCCCTCCATCAACGTGATTACTCCGTTCTCGAGACTCCTGGCCCCATGGCATTCACCAGGAGACTCTTTGTCATGGACATCCCCTGACGTGTGCCTGGGCTTCCCATCTCCCCGGGAGAACGCTATTGCCTAATTTGAATCGATTGTGTTCCTCTAAAAATTCGCATGTTAAAGTCCTAAACCCCAGTAACTCAGAATGTGACCTTGTCTGTAGTAATGTCTTCTGGAGGTTATCAAGTTAAAGTGGAGACATTAGGCTGGACCCTAATGCAATATGACTGGCCCTTATACTAAAGGGAAACGTGGAGACAGACAGGCACACAGGGAGAAGAAGGTAGAGACTGGGATGGTGCTTCTACTGTCAAGGAACACCAAAGATTGCCCCAGAAGCTGGAGGCCCGGAGCAGAGACTCCTGCAGGGGCTCAGGAGGAGCCAGCCCTGCCCGCAATTTCATCTTAGGCTTCTGGCCTCCAGAACTGTGACTGAATCCATTTCCGCTGTTTAAGCCGCCCAGGCTGTTTCTTTGTTTCAGCAGTCCTAGCCAGTGAACACAGGGATGGTGAAGGGTCCCCTCCAGCTCCCCTGTGGCACCTAGCAGGGGACTCTGAGTATATGGACTCTCAGTGCCTAATGAACGGAGGATTTGACATACAGGGCTTGCATTTCAGACACTCAACCCCTGAGCTCTAAGCTTTACTAGACTGTACAGCCAAGAGGTGGGGGCTCAGTATTAGAGTTTATTTCCCTCAATGAGTAGCTGGATTGATTTCTGGGGAGGAACACAGAGATGGGAGCAGAAATGAGCACAAAACCAGTGCTGTCCTTATTCCCTCCACTGGGGCAGCATCTCTGAAGATTTCCTCCTTGAACCTCACAGCAACCTATAAGTGTGCAGAAAGCGGGATTCCAGGGGCTTGTTACTCACCCCAGGAAGAAACAGGGCAGAGCTGGCCCTCAAACCAGGTGAGGGATGAGGCTGCAGCTTTGCTCTAGGCGGAACACAGGTGCTGGACCACACGCTTGCGCAGTGACCCCACTCCACAAGCAACAGGGACTGGAGCCGCAACCTCCTCTGGGGTCTGAACCCCAAATCACCCTGCGGGCTCAGCAGGGCCTCTAGGGATGGGGACCACCTGCTGTTTGCCATCAACAGTGGGGTAGTTACCGTGAGCTCTGCAAAGGAATGGGAGGTCCTTGTCGTACGGGGTGGAACAGGACAAATCAGCTTCCCGGGCCAGGGCAGCTTGGCTGAGAGCCTAGGGGTGACTTGCATGAGGAACGGTGGAATGTGGCCAGAAGGAATGCGCTCATCTACTCAGTGACCACGCTGAGCAAGGCAAAGGCCAAGGACTTCCTGCACCAAGAATTTAGCAGGGTAGCTTGTGTTTTTCATAGTAACCTGAGCAGAGATGCCAACCACATTAAGGACACTTGCAGCTCCTGGTCTCCAGAGAGCTGCTAGGGCCCCACCTGACCATTACATGACCCCAGCTGGTCCGCAGCAGAGCCCTCCTGCACACACACGCACACCCGCATGTGCACACACACACACACACACTCGTCTCCTGTGGAACCCAGGAGATGTTTGTCCTGTTTTGTTTTTCACATTTTATCTGAGGCCATGTGCCATCCCAAGCCTGGCTTCTTGGCAGAGCCCAGAGAAGAAAGCGTTTAGCAGATTCTGCCATTCTGAAAAGCCCTGCAAGGGCCATCAGAGCAGGAGCGCGGGGTCTTGGATTCCGGTCTCAGACATGGGAAAGCCTAATGCTCTGGGGCCAACAAGAGTCCTGGGGTCAGATGGACCTGCGCTCACACCCTGCTACGTGATTGTACTCGTGTCATGCCCTCCCAGTGCCCCCCTCTTGTCATCTGTGAAATAACAGCCATACCCTGAGGCAGCAGAAGGCTGAAGTGGGGCCATGCCCGTGAAGGCAGTGCTGGCACCCAGGGAAGATTCGGGGCGGGCACATGTGGGGTTGCTGAGGTTCTGCCCTGTGTCCTCATCTACAATGAGGGGTTCTGGAAACACCTCCTAAGACCTTCTCCAGTTTCCCAGGATTCCCACCCATTATGTATCAGAACTGTGGGGTCTACGCACTACCTGTTCCAATGGGAATATCCATTTCACAAATCACAAAGCAAAATCCTGCTTCTGGGTGAAAAACTTTAAGGTAGTACAAAAACATAGTGGATTTTAGAAACAGAATGGATTCCTTTAAATTTGTAACTGAATAAGACAGATTTTAAGAGGGAAACGATTTTAAAATTCTGCAGTCCCATTTCCCTGGATTCCGGGGTTTCAGAACCCCCATGTGTTTTTTAGCAGCTGCTCTGCTCTCCGCATGCCTGAAGACTCCAGACAGAGCCCTGGTGCAGCCGCTGGCTCCTGCGGTGACTCTGCCCTGTGAGCTGTGTGGCCTGGGCGAGTCCCTGATCCATTCTGGGTCTCCCTTTCTTTTTTGTTTTTGTATTGTGGCTTTTCTTTGTTTATCAGGGGGGTTTTGCTCTGCTGCCCAGGCTGGAGTGCAGTGGAGCAGTCTCAGCTTACTGCAGCCTCGACCTCCCAAGCTTAAGCGATCCTCCCATCCCGGCCTCCTGTGTAGCTGGGACCACAAGTGTGCACCACCATGCCTTTTTTTTTTTGGTAGAGATGGGGTCTCATGATGTTGCCCAGACTAGGTCTCCTTTTTTTTTTTTTTTTATCTCTAAGTGAGGACTTGAATGCACCAAGGTTCAGGAGACCTTTCTTCTGCATTTGTAGGAGCTCACTGTTCTCAGTGGGATCTGAGGACCCACAGCATCTGCATCACCCACAGACATGCAGAGTTCCAGGCCTTGCACCCCAGACCTGCTGGCTAAGAATCTGCATTTTACCCCCATGAACGCCCCGGTGATTCAGCAACAGATTCCCACTAGGGAGTCCTCTTCCCAAAACCCTACCCGGCACGCCTGCCCCACCTCCAAAGCTGCTACCATGTGCGCTTACGGAAAAGCTTGTCCACCAAGGAACAGATGTCGCCTCTTCAAGCAGAGGCATCCTTACCCACCTAGGTCTCAGCAGGAGGCTGTCCTCATGAGATCCATGCCAGGGAGCCTCCCTCCTCAAGAACTGCCCATGCCAAGCCCAGATCCCTCACCTGTGAAGCCGCTGGCCTGGCTTGAGCCCACAGCACAGACCAGAGCCAGCAGGGCCAGCCCCGAGGTCCTGAGCATCATCCAGCAGTGGTGGCAGCGCAGGGCTCTGGGCCTCTACCAAGAAGCCTGGGTCTCTCCTACACCAGGGCACATAGGGGCCTGAGCCACCTGGACCCGGAGAAAGGGCCTTTCTGTCTCCTGTGCTGCTGCAGGCGGCAATGGCTTCAGAGGCAGCACCGCTGGGAGCAGTCCCTTATGCCTGCACGTTAACACCCACCACTGCCGTGGCCGTTTCCCTGGGGGCTCCTGCGTGTCACAGCCTATTCTGCTCCAAGCAGATGGCATCTTTTAGGAAAAGTGAGTACCCAACAGCCCAGACCGCATCACTGGATCCCATCTCGTTGTTACGCAGAAAACACATTTGAGACCCAAATCTGAGTCTCTCCATCAACACAGGGTATTCTCTTACCCTATCATTCTGAACTGGCAGGAGAAAACAGCGTCAAATCAAAGTGGTACATCACGTTGAGAAAAGTGTCCTTCACACGGTTCCACAATGCAGTTCAAAAGTCACAAAAATGTCCAGGTGCTTTGACCCAGTCCTCTCCTCCTGGAGCTTGGGCTGAGAGCACGAAGCTGTGGTCACGGGGATGTGCATTACTTATTATGACTTCAAGTGGAAAATTACGTAATTGAACAGCCACAGGAGAACGGGAGTGTAATTATTACAGAGCATCTGGATGCAGCATTACACGGGTGTTGAAATGCTCACCATGAAGTTTTAGTAGCATAAAAAAATACTCAACAATGTGAAGCCAAAACAGCAACGCATGCAATTTCATCTCCATGTAAGTGACAACTCTGTACAGTTATATAAGCATGGAGAAAACTCCAGAAAGGGCCATGGGATGGGAAGAAAACATTTTGAGAAGTGATAAGAATACGGGTGATTGATGTTTTATTTCAGTAACCATCATGGTATATGTGACATAGATTTCTAAATTTCATGTTAAGTTCTTTCAAGCTCATGATGTTTTCATATCGCACTGCTGATTGCCTCTTATTGCTTGGTGTTGACTGCTGAAGCTCAATTTTTTTTTTTTTTTTTTTTTTTGAGATGGAGTCTGGCTCTGTCACCCAGACTGGAGTGCAGTGGCGCGATCTCCGCTTACTGCAAGCTCCGCCGCCTCCTGGGTTAACGCCATTCTCCTGCCTCAGCTGCCCAGTTTTTAACACTGGATGAAGAAGATCTTGTGGATTTTACTGAGGAAACATTCTGATGAGTTAACAAAGATTCATCCTGGCTGTATGTTTCAGGAGCATAATTCCTTGGTGTTCTAGATACAAAACAATTCCTCCAGAAGGGAACTTCTCGCCTGACTCCCGCACTGATGACGCTACCTCTTTTATTCTCCGTAGATTAATCTCTGAGATGATGAACTGCTGCATTTGCTTGGCTAATGACTAAAAGTCAGATGCTATGACAAGAATACAAAAATGATCACACACGGAAATGATCACACAGCAAAGGGGCTGCGTACCACGGGTGTCCTTGGAACACAGCAGCTTTTATAGAAAACCAAAAGCTTCACGCAGAATCGGCTCATTACAAAAAGTTTTCAGCTGGGCGTGGTGGCTCTCGCCTGTAATCCCAGCACTTTGGGAGGCCGAGGTGGGTGGATCACGAGGTCAGGAGATTGAGACCATCCTGGCTAATACGGTGAAACCCCGTCTCTACCTAAAATACAAAAAACTAGCTGGGCGTGGTGGCGGGCGCCTGTAGTCCCAGCTACTCAGGAAGCTGAGGCAGGAGAATGGCGTGAACCCGGGAGGCGGAGCTTGCAGTGAGCCCAGATGGCGCCACTGCACTCCAGCCTGGGCGACAGAGCGAGACTCCGTCTCAAAAAAAAAAAAAAAAAAAAAAAAGGTTTCATAGGAAAAGAATAACTGTTAAAGCTATTGTATAATACTCAAAAAAGTGAAATTTGATCAACACTAAAAGAACAAATTAAAAGTATTACGACAAGTAAATCTGAACACTTTAAAATGCAAGACGAATGTGTATTATATTGTATATACCATCTCAATGTTTGCTACTATAATGTATGAATGTCTCTATAAAATATTAAGGTTAATCAGGGATAATGTTACAGGTTAAAACCCAATTTGTCTGGTGCACCATTGTCTCTCATCTTCACGATTACTCTATGAAATAGGTCATTTGTCCCTATTAAATAGGTGAGAAAACAGGTTCAGAAAGGCCACACAGCCAGTAAACAAGAGATTAAACCCAGACTTGTCCAAGCCTCAAGCCGCAGTTCTTCACACTCCACTCCACTGCTGGTCTGTCATGATTTAACCACAGACCCCAAGACAGGGGAAAAAAGTCAAGACATTTTACCAATTGAGAACTTCATCATAATTTACAATCGTCCATAAAATGTCATTGTAACATGCTGTCTCTTTATATTAAATGATTAAAGAAAAAAGTCTCAAAATTAACAGTCTGTTTCTAGCTTGGTCTCTCCTTCAACCTCCCTTTCATTGAGGCACAAAGAAAGATACCTCTGCCGTGTGTGTGTGTGTGTGTGTGTTTGTGTTTCTGTCTGTGTTTTGTCCACAGAAGGAATTTTTCTGCAGTTATCCTTTATGCATGTTTTTCTGCATGATGGCCAGAGGGATTTTGCACGTTTGCACTGTCCATGTAAACACTCTGAGGAGAAAAACAACCCCATACTGTAACCCAACAGGGAGAGAATTCTCGAGCACTAGAGGTCTGACGCTGCCGGGGTGTGTCTTCCACAGTCCATCCAGCAGAGAGCCCCAAATTCGCTCAGGGCCTCTGTGCGGAAAGGCCAGCATCCCCCACACAGCATCCAAGGGCTGGAGAGCCAATGGAGGCCACTGGTGTGCCGTGCTGGCTTTCAGGGCACACATGCCCAGGCATTCACACCCTCTCACACTGACATACATGCACTCACACTGGGCATAAACACAGACACATCCACACTCACATGTGCACCGACACATACAGACACACTCACACAAGTCCACACACATACTGACACACGTTCACACTTACACTTACAAACACAAACTCATATGCCACATCACTCACTCATGCATGCTCATTCACACATGCCCACACTAACACATGTGCACATATTCACACCCATAAGCATATGGGCATTCACACACACACACATTCTCGCCCTCACACTCGCACACACTCACATTCACTCTTGAATCTGCACACCCGCACACATGCTCATACTCGCAATCACATTCACACTCATGTACTCGCACACACACAGCTGCCCACTCTCACATGCACAACGCGGGAACCAAGGAAGTGCTTCCCATCCCGGGATGCAGCCTCTCCCTGGGCGTGTGCTACACCTCCTGCCTTCAGCAGTGGCGCCTGGGCCGGCAGTTGCCCTGTTTTCTCCGTCTCTAGAGGGAGCGATTTGAACTCAACGGCCTCCAAGGGGCCTTTCTCATCTCAGGTCAGACTTCTAGGACCCTATGTGTGCAAGCTCACAGAGGCTCAACAAGTCACACTGCAAAATCGCATGTCTGTCATTACCCTACGGCCAAAATGTTCACAGCCTCCTCTTCGTATCCCCACGACAGGCAGCCATGGCAACGGCCGCCAGGCAGGTGCATGGCAGAAAGAGGCAGAGCGGGAGAAGGCCCTCATCTCCAAGTGGTGGCCAGGTGGGTTTATTTTCAGGGAAAGCTGGTTGTGTTGGAGAATGTGAGGAAGAGCTAGGGAGGAGAGTCATGCAATCGAAAAATGTTTTGGACTTGGAGGAGACCTTGAGTCATCCAGCCCAGCATCCAGCCCATCCAGGTGGCTCTCTGACAGTGGCCGTGACGTAACACCCTCTTTCTCGGGGTGTGGCTGGGGACCACCTGCATGGGGAGGGGACCTATAGAAAATGCAGGCTCCCAGCCTTGCCCGTCGCTCACTCAGGCACTGGAGCATGGGCCCCCGGCATCCCGGTGACTCGGTGCTCACACAGCCTTGAGGATGGGACTCCGTCCTCCTGAACACCAGGCCATGAATCCATGGGATGGACCCTTCTGTGGACAGATGGCTCTGCCAGAAAATTCCTCCCGATGTGGAATCACGGTTGGCCTTCCCACTGGAACGACCACACCCGGGGAGCCTGGTCCACCCTCACACTGGACAGTGAGTGCCACTCCTCCATGTGGCAGCCTTCGGACCCTTCTGGAGAGTTCTCCGGGCCACCTCTGTTTTGCTCCCCTCCCCCATCTCTCTCTCCCTCACTCATACAGACACATGCCCTTGTCTTTGTTTCTGTTTGTTGCTGTTTCTGTTTGCCTTTGCAGAAGCTCAGCTTTCTTATCACAGCCCAAATGACTTTTCCTTTTTCACATTCCACTTCGGAGACTGTGGCCCTCCATGGGCAACAGTTGTGGGGTTGGATGGAAAGTTAGGGTGCGGCCTGGGGTCGGGACATTGTCTGCAGGCCCCTAGGAGCAGCGCGGGCATGCCGCTTTCTCGTGGTGAAGCCAGAGCAGAGCGGAAGGCGAAGAGACACAAGAAACTCCCAGAAGAGGTGCCCAGGCCCTCAGAGGTGCTTCTGTAACACAGCAAAGGCGTATCTAAGACCGGGGGGCAGTGGACACGCACATGCCACTGTGTTTTCAAACCCCGTGTGCCTCACAGTGGAACCTGGGGAAAGCCCTGGATTAGGAGCCAAATACCCTCAGTCCAGTCCTCATTCTGCCAACAGCTGGACAGGGTCCCCTGGGTGGCATTTATCCTCTCAGCGCCTCGGTTTCCTAAACGGGAAATTACCAAAAGGGAATAGTGATGCCTTCTAATTTAGTGGTGTTTTACTGCCTCCTGATTTTATGAAAACCAAATTAATTAATGTATGGGGATGCCTTCCAGAACTAGAGAGTATTTTAAGTATCCATCATTTATTGTCATTAAATGTAGGTAAGGCCATTACTGGGGAAATATAATTACAAATAAAATGTGCTGGCCAGGCACAATGGCTCACGCCTATAATCCCAGCACTTTGGGAGGCCAAGGCAGGTGGATCACGCGGTCAGGGGTTCAAGACCAGCCTG